CAAATTGGGTGGTTCCTTACTGGATCACATACAAAATGCCCTGGGGGATATCGCATGCTTGGATGGATGAGAACGATCGTGTTCAAGTGTGGACACCCATTAACCAAGAGGAGTGGCCTGTTCCGATACCGAAAGATGCCGACCTTGCTCTCATCCGAATCGAGATGTTGAACCTTGGAGCAGAACTTGTTTGGTTGGACGTTCTGTGTTTGAGACAGCCGGGTGGGCGGGGGGAGCATCTACGCAGGGATGAGTGGAAGGTGGACGTGCCCACTATCGGGTTCGTGTACCAGAACTTGTCTAATTCGGAGGTGGTGTGCTATTTCAGTGGGCTGGGTCAGCCATTGAGTCTGAAGGCGGGCGACTTTGAAAGTAAGCTGTGTTGGTTTAATCGAGCATGGACACTGCAAGAGATCACCGAGAAACCGATCATTGGCGGGGGCACCGGAGATAACGTCATGATGGAAGAAGATGTAAGAATGAGGTTCAATCAACAGCTTGGATCGCTACAGCATATGGCAAAACATGGCAGCATGTTTGATGTCCTGTCGGAAATGCGGAAACGGGTGTCGACAAAGCCTCTGGATAAAGTGGCAGGCTTAGCAAACATTTGCTGCTTCTGGTCTATCCCTATCTACCGTGAGGATCAGTCGGACGAGGAAGCATGGACAGCGCTTGTGAATGCGATGCTCGTTGACAAACGGGCAGAATTGCTCTTCTTCTACCCAGAACCTGGCGACGGAAGCATATGTTGGAGACCATCCTGGAAACAGGTAATGACGAAGACACTTCCTTCACCTCAAAGGTACAGGGGGGTGAAAGGTGGAGTGGGATGGGCAGAGAATGTCGACTTATATGAAGGTCCCTGCATCAATTTAGGTGACGTTCAGGGATTGTCCGACGGACCTCAAGGTGGGATGCCTCGAGAGGGACGGTTGATCATCAAAGATCACACCGGAACACTCCAAACAATCAAGATCATTGCTGAGCATGAATTCCCGATACCTGATGGACCTTATACACTGATAGGTGGTGATGCCGGCTATAATCGCTTCTCTGAGGATTACCAAGATTTCGAGATGATGTAATGGGTAATTGGCTGGTATAAACCACATCACAGGTTCAAGAAATTGTCGGTTTTCAATATCGCGGACATCGAGGGACAAAGGATGCTAAAGCAGCTTGGAGTTGCAGATCGCCGAGTTGAAACTATTCTTGCCTGATTCAGTTCTAATAGCTGTGAGATAGTATAGATAATAGCGAAGGAACTTTCTTTAGACTCACTAAGCGATCGGGTCGCTTCCCGTTTCTTCTCTATTTTTCTCTCTTTCCTTTAACATTTCTCTTTCTACGTTATTATTATTATATTTCTACCATTTTTTGAGTTGGGGACTCTCTCCTTCACGTTGACTTGATATTATTTTCAATTTACTCGGAGATTACTCCTGACACTGTAGTTTATGAAGAAGGATTTTTCAACATTTTTGGGATGATCCGACCTGAAGCGTGTTACAACTGACAAGATGTCCAATATCGTAAAGGTTTTTGAGCCAGACCATCCCTTCCCATGGTTCCTTCAAGTTGCTTTGTGTCAGAGATGACAGTCTGTGGGTGTCTCGAATATCATATGACTCACAGCATGTCTATGAAGTTCACTATTCTTAGAAGACATAAAGTTGCGATTTCTGCGGAACAATTTCAGCACTATGTCGTAGAAAGCTTTGATAACTAATTTCTGCACATTAGTAGATGTTGGTTAGTATGAACAATGTCTCCAGTTGCTGGCTCACTACCACCACCTTTCGTCAAGGTCCTACCATATTCCTGCCTAGATATCCAGGCATCGACAATGTACTACGGGAAGTAACAGCACGCACCAAATGAATTTCGACATTTGAGATGGACACCCCATTATACCCGATGGACGGTCACCCCCTTCATCTGCAACTGTCATATCCTCCATGCTACAGTACCGTCGTGATAGGACGAGCCCATCACAACAATAATTATACTAATTATAGAGGATTGCTAAATGACTGTCAAAGTGGCGATACAGGACATGGCGACATCTATGTCAAAGACGTAAAATTAGTGCAGAAATACCGTGTGGATATTGTTCTACCCATTCATCGCTTATTAAGAAGGCAGTAAATTTTATTTCGCCTATAGTTAGTCAGTCAGGATTACATAGTACTGAAAGATAGTGGAAGCAGGTCATCCATTCCCAAGTTGTAAGCATGTATTTCCATTTTATGAGACTGATAAACTCATCCTTATGTTGATTATCTGGATGAATTCCTCATCCTTATCACACACGGGAAAATCTTCTTGTGAATGCTTTGTCTCGTCCGTCTCGGCTTCTCGATACCCAACTCCACATCTTGCGATAGCATTGGTTTTAGCGGCCACCTCTTTGTGCAAGACGCTGCTTTCTCCACCGGTAATAAGCGTTCTAGCATGGTATATATTATTCAGCCCTAGTTATTCCTCATGAAGCAGTTACAGATGTCTGTATATTGTGATTACAGGGTCATTGTGGGTGTATACTGCCAGTATGGCGCCGATGTCCCCAGCTTATAACATTTCTGAAGGCCGGTGCAATATCTGTTTACTGGGCTGACGGTGATATCGTTGGACGGAGAAGCAGGAACTCCCACGAATCGAACGTGAGTTGCATGCGACAGAGGCAAGGTGTATTTGAATACGGGTCAGCACGCGTTATTCCATTCCTTATACCTACTTAGTTCTTTTAGCCAAGGCAAACAGTCGGTTTAGCAAACACCCAAGACGCGATATCGTCTTTGTACCATTGTTGTGCGTATAATTTCTTTTCAAGTCTGCTTATCACTCACTTATTGAAATATAGTTGCGCGTGCACAGTTGGGTTGCAATGATTGAAGAATTCGTATCTCGATCCTCGTCTCAGGTATTTCTTGCAAATCTTGAATTATTTGTATCGCTCGGGCTCGAAGAATGGCCCTTGAAAACCTCGCACCACGAATTCTTGTGTGTTACAATGCCATTCCAAGACACTTGAGTCTTGACCTTTGAAGGATCACAACATTTCAAAAGCACAGGAAAATTGGTCCAGGAGGGCTCATGGGGGTATCAGAAAATCTTCTGCTTACTTATTAGTAGTAAGTATGAGGTTGATATCGTGCATCTATTGGCGATATCACCCGTATTGCGCTTGAGCTAGTGCAAATCCATTCTTCAATGCTTGTGTAGTACTCGAATACATTTCGTACTAGAGGTTTCGTCCACGCTGGGTGCATTACTTTTGAATGTAACAGGGTCGAGAAAGGTCAGGCGGGTTGAAAGGGCGAAACCAACGATCAAAGATTGAGAGGTGCTTTCTTGAGGCTAACATTCTACAGAGGAACGCAACTTGAGCTCTATTCTAATCCGTTAGTCGAGAAAAAACAATTATTTCCTCATCCACAAATACTACCTCAGTGGGAATCGAACGTGATAAAAAGTCTTAGTTACCAGCTGACGCAATGCTAAGCCATTAGACCACAGCAGCACAGTTGCAATGGGTACAATAGGAATGATCCGGCGGACACCTAATGTTTACATCTGTTGATGTCGCTGGGTTTTTCTTCCTCCCTGTCGTCATCATTCACTCCAACCCTCGCACCCTTAACAAGGATTGTGACTATCTCTGGGGAGAGAAACCGAGCGTCTGAAGAGCTATAGTTCTCACTTGCATTTCAACCACATCGGGACTGTCGATACTCCAAGATACCAGTAACCGAGGATGGTGCGTGATGGTCGTGTGTTAGACTGTTGAGGAAAAGGCGCAGTGCATGATATTGGAAAGGGATACAGAGGGTGACTAGCGGCTGACTCTACTAAGATCAGAGACCAGAACCGGTGAAGGACGAGAGCACGACAGCGAAACCTAACCGACTCTGCCTCCACATTCCCGAGGACGCGATCAAAAATTGTCAGAGGAACCTCCACGCATGAGCCAGATCTAAGTCGTGGAAACCACCCCTCCTGAACGTCATACCGCCCCCGTAACTGTGGACCCTGCCATCCCTCCGACTCGTTTCCAGCCTCTGGTTCCTCTGAATTGGACGCAATTAAAGCTTACGCCACTCTTAGCGCTGGCCTATGATCCAGGATGGCAGCAATTACGCTGTACCGGACAACGACGCGTGCAAGAGTATAGTAGCTATACTTGTAACTGGGTACGTCACGTCTTTCCCTGCCTTTCTCTCACTCACATTCCTCTTAGCATATAATCCTCGTTTCCCATACAAGGAGTGTGCACACTCAAAATTGCGGTCGGACATATCATGGTCGTCGAAGAGTTCTTGAGACGAGAGATTTTCCAGTCGGGAGAACAACCCTCGATTCTGAGACCATGAAAAGGAAATATAGAGCCTGCTGAGGGCAACATATCTCGAGTTTTAGGCGTGTGGGTTTGTGTGCCGGCGCAACTACAAGGTTTACCTGGGAACCAGAGACGAGGACACAGGGAGGCGCAACACGAAGCGAACGGCACGACGGCGGCTTCTTCAGCCAGACTCACAACGAATGTAGTGAGCTTCTTCCTTGGATAAAGTAATACGCTGTCTTGACAGTCTATTAGTTGTGTAAGAACTCGCGGTTCACAGGTAAGCACAAAGGAACTAATGTTCACGGCAATCGCGCTAGCGATGCCCTACTAACTACACAGCTTTTATACTACCAGAATACGTAGAATGTACTAGAATAAATGAGTAATGTATCACTAATAAAATGAGTAAGCGTCCCGGGGAATATGGGGAGAACGAGCGAGAATATTCATGCAAGCTCGCTCTTCTAAAAATAGTAATCCATATTCTAACATTAGTGCCTACCATCATGTTATTCCTTTCACCGCTGTAACATGACCTCGTTAACATTCTCCGGCCCGTAATGCCGAACACGGCACGAGCGTCCCGAGTGCGCCCTCAGATACCGAATAGACTTCGTTTCATTCACTTCTCCGCGCTAAGCCGAAACCAGCCCGAGAACGCCCTCAGACACCACAGACACCGAACCAGTCGCGTCTCGGCACATGAACCAGATGATCTTCCATCATCCACCCGCTCTTACCACCACCTCCCAACCCCGTAGCGTGGTGGCGTGTTGCGCCATTGTACATCCTGCTACCACCCACTTCCTCTTTCTGCTCTACCTAATTGGATGCTATAAAGTTTGCGCCACTCATTACACAGAGAACAGCACGTTCGAGACACTCTTCCTCCTGGTTATAGTGTCAGTACTTAAGCATCGTATGTCGTATCTTATTCTGCCCTTCTCTGGCGTACGCATCTTCTAGCATACGGTTCTCGTTCACATTATATCAACCCCCCTTTTGACCTGTATCTTCTTGCCACAAACCCGTACCTTGTTGATACCCACAATGCGCTCGAGCACGCACACATTCCCTCGAGCGTAACTGTAACTGCAGCCAGTAGAGTAAATATTAATACTCACTCCCAAGCCGGGAGCAGATACAATTATCTAGCAGCATTATTGAGATCGAAGTAGAGCACTGCGTATATGCATTCCAGTGCGGGTCTTCTCGCAGCCTGCAGGGTACAATGTAGGAAGTTATCTCTGCGACCTGGTAGGAGGCTGACAAACAAAAAGACTGGTATTGTAATCGTATGTCTGTCATGTTCAACTAACCAATTCGACGGTGTGCTAATGTCTGATTATATATCATATATTCATGTGACTACGCTGCTGAATACGAACATGTGCTCATTTTATCAAGAGATATCCTCTACTCTTAGTGTCAAGTCCTCGGCGTAATTCAAGGATACCGATGTCCTTGAAGCTTGAGGCTTGACGTAGAAAATTGAGCACCTGTAGCCTGTCAATAGGCCCATATCTCAATTTGGGGAGATCGCCTTCACCTTCGCTCTACGTGTTCGTGGGAAACTGACCTAGTCCTGGTTACCTTTTTTCACTTGTAGCTCTTAGTTTTAGTGTTACCAGAACACCAAATCAGCCGCTTTCTGCCAATCTCGCTAGAAATCCGTGTTCTTTTGCGAGGTCGTTCATAAGGCACAAGCAAGTCTCCCCCATGTCTGTGTGACTTCACCGTAAGTACTCATATTGTCCATGAGCTCACCAGATTTTAGGTTATATCACTCGGTTTAAATACTGCCATCTGCGATGTGAGACAGATTTAGTCTAGGCGCTCGCTCCACAACGACATCGTCCCGGGACGCGGATTAACTTCATCTTCACGGATATGCTGTCCGTATCTACAGATAAAGGTTATCAAAGCCCTTGCGCACCGGAATGAACGAAGGCTCGCCCTGTGCATCCTCTCTGTCTACAGCTATTCAGCTTTAAACTGATCGAGGTGACTTGACTTGAGTGTTCCGTGGGAGATCTAGCGTCTTGTGACACTACAACTGTGTCTTTGTGACGACCTAAAACCAGAGCAGATGTTTTACAACATTGTGCTGCTAAGAGAGTAAAGGCGCTTGTGACTTTTGTCCTAGATGATGAAGGCTTGGCTTACATTCGCATATATGGTGAGAGCTTTCCTCCATAACCATGCGATTTATGAAGGGGTCAACAAGTAATGTTCCGGTGAATCTGTGTTCTTCGTTATAGATCCTACGAATAATGGCTCATACATGCTTGCAGCACCTATTCATGTACCTACCACGGGAGTGCTTTTGTCATCTTCATTCCGAGGATCTTGTTGTCGGCATATGTCGTGTTATCATATCCACGGCTTCGAGTCTGGACATCTGAGATGCAACAAAATATGGATCGATCAATTGAACCCAAGTAAATGCGATGATTACGAACCGTGGTCGATTTTTTAAGAACAAATCCACCCTACATGTAGCGTCATGGTATAACAGTTGGTGTGCCTTTTGTTCTGACTGGCAAGGTCTTGGGTTCAATTCCCATCGGGCGCCTTTGCGGTAAGATGATATCTATTTCTTTCCTTCGCTGTTATGGATTAGTTTGAGCTAATACCCGAGTTGAAGAATACTCAAGTAAAACCCGAGTCGTGAGCGAGGATGTTCGAAAGCCAAGTTCCAACTGCCAAGAGGGAACCGTAAGGGTGCTAACAAGCGCTAGGCATAGTTAACGAGGGCACCAGCAAGCGCTAGGCGTAGTCGGGAAGCAATTGATTGGCAAGCGCTCTGCGTAACCGATCAGAGATGTTTAGTTCACACAATTAAGTGGACTTCAAAGACGAGTAAAATTAGCTTGAGATTCTAATACAATGGTGAAGACAGTATTTATATGCTACTAGTAAGGCATTGAGTCATTATAATTCTACAATGTTCCGTAATATTCTAGTATCAGCAAGAAGAATAGAGAAAGTAAGAGAAAATAAGAGAAAATACCGGTAGGCCGAGGTCAAGACCGAGAAGGCCGAGAGTATGCATGTGTTGACTCGTGTACAGACCGAAAAAGAGATGAAATCCATGACATTCGCCTAGACTCAACATTCTGCAGGGGAGCGCGGAATATCCTCTAGTTAACATTCAGTGCTCATTGCTGCAGAAAATCCTGTTCATACACTAATAGGACTTGAACGTGAAACAGAAAAACATTTCCGCAATTGGACAAATCAACACCCTAGGAGCCATTGTACGGTGAGAGAAAGTCGAAGTGGAATCACCCCGAGATGCAGCACGGTGACAGATCTTACTCTCACGTATAGAGTAAGAGGATTGTTTGAATCTCTGCCAGGCGAATACAGAGAGGGTAGAAAGACACATCTAGGCGGTTCTGGAAGTGCGCAGAACAATCATTGCCATTCCGAACGATCCATACAATGTAGTATGCCTGCTTGTCAGTGCCCCTATGCCGAAGGGAATTACCACGTAGAACTTGAAGGATCAACAATTAATTGTTCCTAACTATGTTGCCAAATCTGGGACATGGGTTTATTCAGGGGTTCGGTGGTCTTCACAGAACTAGTCTGTTGAAGTACAAAATATTTTAGCATCATAATAAGAGAACGCAGAAGAAGACTTAGTATTCCTCGATACCAGTGTCCCAGCGGTCGCAGGCGATGCTATGGATGCGGATATACATCTTCATGAAACAGCTTCGCTACACATCCTTCCCATCGGACCCGCATGAATCGATGATACACCCCATTCTGATATCTCATACATCTTTGAAGCTTCCCGCTGTCCACAGCCTTTCGTTCCTGTGTTTGAGACCGTATGTCTTAGGATTGATAGGCTCGAGAAGGCCGTGTCCTACGTGTATAATCACAGACAGATTTTCTAGAATGACAGCGTAGCAGAACTTGCATGAAAGAACTATTCGTAGCTATCTGCCGTCACGGAGGAGATGGCAAAAACGAAGAAGGCCTCCAAGTCTTCCTTTCTTCACCTACTACAGAACGAGTCACGAACGTCCCTGGATTATGGTGTCCTTGTCGATATTGATCCCGGAATCACGGTTCATGGCCCTTCCGAGGCATAACGTGTTGATGCATGCCCATCTAGTGACCATTTTACAGAGACCGGAGCAAAAATGAGAGTTCTGTGAGTGGGGAAGACTGACAAGTATTTCTGGTCCATCGTCTGAACTCTCACAACTCAGATCCCTCCATCCCGCCACCGCCCTTTAACACTAAGATAGCTCGGTGGCGTGCGCACGAGCTCGCAGGTTCGTAGCTGGGGACATGGGAATATCTCCAGTCTATCTTGGCCAAGTCGCGATATGGGGTTCAGATTTGGTCCTGGCCAAGTGGTGGGCCAACTTGAAGCTCCTTCGACGGATCAATCAGTAGTACCAGAGTTACTGGTTATTATCCGCGTCATCATAGGCGTTCTGAGACTTCATTGGTACAGTCAGTCTTATCAGAAGTAATCACCTGAATCTCGTCCATGGTGTCTGGCGTCTGCTTTGCCTATCACCCTGTACAAGCCCGTTCTGTATCATGAACTGTGACGTTAGGCTTGGCGATCTATTCTGAGTTCTCCGATCATGATTGGCAGCGTGGGTCCTCACTGACAGTTATCAGTGCATAAGCCTCGTATAAGAAATGTCGGAAAAAGTGTCAAAGCCTAATAAGGCAACTGAAATTATTAAGTAATACAGTCACATGACAATGAACATTATCAGAATGAACCCCGCCGACCTATTCCCAAAAATGGCAAGACCTTAGCTAAAAATGTCCGACAAGGTCCAGGTAGCTAACGAGCGCAAAATCAATAACAAAAGTTAAGAGTATAAGATTCAAATATTCACCTTCTCAATTGCGACTATATCGGCCCATAGAATTTGGGCCAGCCTGGCCAGGACCGGGAGACCCAGGACCACTATATAAACCGGGAGAGGTGGATTGAGGCCCTCGTGCGCGTTGGACAAGATGGTTGAGCTGTCCGAGTTGCTCCTCCTGCACCTCAACGAGGCGCTGCATCAGGCCTGACAGGCCATCAATCCCACTCTTTATGCTGTGGATATCTTGCGACATTGATCGATATTCCCGTTTCGATTTGTCCGTCTTAGAATTGATCTCGATCAAGTACGAGTTTAAACTGTCCGTGAGGGCTGACAGATTATGACACACTTCATTGTGTTTATCCTGTAACTCTATCAGTATGCCTCGCTAGATTAGAAAATAATAACGATCTTACTTCCATGTTGCCTATCTCTCTTTCTAGCTTTTGGACGGTAGCATCTGTGTTGGCATAATCAAGGTCTGACACGCAGATTGAAAATTTCAATTGACTTACTGATTTTCAACAGGGTCTCCCCTGGGCTCGCAGAAACGGCGCTGCTGAGCTATGAGTAATCACAACAATAAAGACGAGATAACCTGACTTGCCCACGTTGTGGAGAGCTAGGCCCTGGACTGGACATGTGCCAGTCAGGCACGTTATTGGCATTGCCTGTTGATTGGTTGCTAATAGCAAGTTTTAAGCTTTAAGTACGATACAGTTATTTTGAAAAGAGACATACTTATTTTGACCATGAGGGTAGTTTGAGCCCGACGCCATTATAGATGTAAATGTGGGAAACTAGATAGTACAACATCAGAGCCACAAAGATTCATCATGTAGCATACACACCCAACACGTACGCAGATCGCTTCTGCAACGACAACTTCTTGAAATGAGAGGAGACCAGAAGATGCTGGGAATGGGAACGATAACGTGAAAGACTGGCAATTCAGACGACATTGCGACAGGCTTTTATACCAAAGGCCAGCTTTAACCGGGCTTCAAAGATAACGAGGGTACTTTTGCTGTGCTGTCAATGTCGTCGTAATGACCGGACCGGACAAGAGTATTTGAAATAAGGAAATCAGTAGTGTTATATCATTAGACAGGGGGAAAAGCGGAAAAGTCTCATTCACCGCACGCAGTGCACATGGTACAAGCAAGCGGAGAATGGTAAAAAGGTCTATAAACTCTCAATATCCGAGTACAGTATCATGCAAAACCCGACGATTACAACAACTCAGTAGTAATATGCATATTTGCCAACAAATTTTGTCAATCTTATTGCCTTAAGCGAGGATTTTACTCAGATCTGTCAAACATTGTAAATGGGAGCATGCACCACCGACACACGGTGAACTGTGTATACTGACGTATTTCCTGAAGCCCGCTGCACGAGGCAGAAAAAAGTACTCAAACCTACTGAGATAATCAAGTCAATTTTCCGTTCGACATCCAAGAAGGAACTCTAGACCTATCGCTTAATATTCGAGGCAATTAGGCCTGGCAAGCTAGACCACTCTAGATGAAAGAAATGAGGAGACAATGTGAAGTTATTGACATCATGCTCTCACCGACGCATCACAGATGCACATGTAGAAATTTTGCAACCACATGGAGTGATTCTATACTTGCACAAGTGCTGCTCAGCTATATAAACCTTCTCTTTGTTAAGCTGTTAGAAATTATCGATACTCATGTCCTCCGAGCCAAAGATCTCATGCAGCCATTGTGGTGGCCTTTTTTCTCGCCGTGGTATCAAAAGACATGAGGTTTCCTGTCAGCGAGACTTGCACCAGCGTGTCGCCGATACACGTTTCGAGAAAGCAGTTTTACAACCGACCTACGTTACGTCAAGTGTTTCTCCATCAGGTATGTTGATCTGCCTGATGTTGCGAATAGTCTAACTATAATTTTAGTAACACTAGGAGATACGCATGAATCTTTATACGTATCTGATAGTCAGGTCTCTGACAGCTTGAGTAAGTTCAGCTGGACATTTCCACAACATCAGCTAACCGATGATCTCCAGATCATGATTGGGCACATGCTTGTGAGTAAAATAATTTTCTACTGTGTGTTTTCTAATGGTGACATCTTGTTAGATTCTCATGTTGATGAAGCCAATAGTTTTGTGGACATACCCGATAGTCCTGTGACATCAGAAGCCGAGAACGGAGACCCAGAGCTTCAAGTTGATGACATCTGAATGATATTCCACCCATCCAGTGGTAAAGCAACCATAATTGACCATTTTGATCAGTACCGGTCCCGAGCAGCAGATCAACATATTGATCCTCCGATCGATCAATGTCCCTGGCGTCCCTTCTCATCCCGTCGGGATTTTGACATCGCAGAATTTGTCCTAGATGCTGCACTTAGTGAAAGGCAAATGGACAAGTTTTTCAAGCTGTTGAAATCCTCGGCACTAGATGAGGTGCACCTTACTCCTTCAGATATCAAAACTAGAAAGGATGTGAAAACTAGCTGGGACCGTGCGGCAAACTTGGTTACTCCTGTAAGTATGATCATTGTTAACCGTTGATCTTGCTGAACATATCAATGACAGTTTGAAAAGCATACCTGTTCTATCAAGCTTCTCGACAAGGAAGTTTGCTTTGACGTTTATCGCTTGAATCTATGGAACTGGATACTAGAACTTGTCAAGGACTCTACACTGGAGCCGCATTTTGTTTGGGATGCTACCCACTTATCAAAGTGGAATGGGACCACGTTTGAAAGGTTTGTCAATGAACCTTGGACCGCCCAAGCATTTTGGGATCTCCAAGTGAGTACGAACCTTCTAACCTACCTGACATTTTATTCAATCTCTTTTTCCTCCCTAGACGGCCCTGCCAGAGGGTGGAAAGCCATTGTACATTATCCTGTATGCAGACAAAACCCGTCTATCATCATTTGGGACTGCACAAGGTTATCCAGTAGTGGCGCGTTGTGGAAATCTGCCCATTCACATTCGGAATGGAAAAGGAGTTGGCGGTGGACGTGTTGTTAGTTGGTTGCCAGTGGTCTGAAATATTCCATCCTGTTAGAATGTTTTCGAATCTGAATCAATGAAATGCAGATAAAGGAGGATCCAAAACATACCGGAAAGAAATATTATGTTGATTTCAAGCATCGTGTATGGCATACGGCGATGAAGTATGTTCTGGAAACAATGGTTGATCCCAGTAGGTTTGGGGCTTGGATTCACCTTTCCCTCGCAAAACGAGATCTCCAACTCTTTCCACGATTTCCTATTTTATCATGCGACTATGAGGAAGCGTCAGTCCTCACATTATTTCCTTGCATAGCATGTATTGATACCATCATTAGGGCAATGATGGTTCTGATACGAGGCGTTAATGGTGACGCACCATGTCCAATTTGCCTAGTTCCCAAGCTAGAACAATATAATCTGGAGATGGAATATGAACTCCGAACTTCTGAACGTACCAGAGAAATTCTTCAAAGGGCCAGAGGACTTAGGACCCAGGAATTGCGGGATGATTATCTTGGTGAGTTTGGGCTGCGAAACATCAATGTAAGTTTCTTTTCCCATTATGAGAAGTGTAGTAACAAACCTTTGGCTTTCAGAACGTCTTTTGGACTATTGAGGCATGTGATCCATTCCGGTCCCTTTCTTGGGATAGGCTACACGCCTTTCAGGATGGTCTCTTTGGGCATCATCTTCGAGGAGAACTTGTCCGTCGTATCAAAGCTCTTGGACATGCTTATGCTAGTCAAGCTGATAATCAGTAAGCTCCTTTTCATGAGTGATGCCTCATTAAACTCACAATGCTTCTAGAGTTCAAAAGTTTCCTCGTTGGAGGGATTTGAATCATTTTGAAAGTGGCTTCATGGCAGTTACCTTCACCGATGGCACTAAGTATGAGGATCTATCAAAGGTGAGCCGAGTTTGTGTTAGTTTGATATTTAAATGACAATAAACACAGCAAATTATATTTGTCACGCACAACATACTCAGCGAGACACAGGACAGCCATGGATATCATTTATTGAAGTGCATCCGTAGCTACCTTGTTCTCAATGTGTATGCAGGGTTTACTCTTCATACTGAAAGTTCTATAAAGGCTCTCCGAGAGGAAAGCACCAAATTTGGAAAGCTGATCAAGGTGAAGCAGTCCTACATTAATTAAAATTAGTCCCCTGAAGCTGAATGATCATATCAGGAGTACCAAGAACTCACTCGAACAGTTAGCGAGAAACCAAAGTCTTGGAACTTTCCGAAGGTACATTCACACCGGCATCTCCCTGACGACATTCTGGCAAAAGGAGTATCCCGGAATTACGACACCAAGCCCAATGAAAATATGCATGGTCCACTCAAGGATGCATATCAGCTAAGGACGAACTTCAAAGAGGTCGCTGAGCAGATCCTCCGAATAGATTCATGGTGCAATGCCACAGGCTTTATACAGCAGCAAATCGACGTTCAGGATGAGTTGCTAAAGGCGTGGCAGGATTCCCAGCAGGCAGATGAAGAAATAGAGGACGAGATGGAAGAACAGCCGCATGATTACTCTGGAAAAGCCACATTGCATGGAAATCGTGGTAAAGGGGGCGGAATGATGTCGATAAAGGAGTTGATGGATTCAAAGCAGGAGGATATAGCCTTCAAAAAGTTTTCGGAAAAGCTATCAAAGTATGTGAAGGATTTGTTTAAAGACCTACCCCACGTTGTTCCTGTTGTCAATGGCAACAAGTTCCAGTTCGAGCAGTTTATTGGGGACGAAAAGATTAGGTTGGCCTCCTCTTCTTTCAAATCACCTCAACTGATGAATTGACCTCTAGATCTGGCTCTATGGAACAATCAAAGTCAACTATGAAAGCACTGTGAACTGGACGTTACTTACTGACATTTTGCGGTGTAGTCCCAACTTCCACAACCATCCAAGATATGACTGCGTAATTGTTAAGGATGATGATGGTCCATATTTTGCTCAACTTGTACAGGTCTTTACCTGCAACATTGGTGGCAAAGATTTTCCGCTCGCCCTCATTCAACCATTTACGGAGGCAGTCAGCCTGACTACAGCAAAGCTCGATGAAGACCTTGGCTTTTATCGTGTCTCTGCAAAGAAAAGAGATGAATGTATTTTCATATCGATTTATTCCATTATCCGAGGTGCGCTGTTGGTCGAGGACTTTGGATTTAACAGAGGTTCCACCAACCAGTCCAACCAGTCCAAAGAGTACTTAGTCGTGGACATTGTGGACGAGGATATGTATCTCCGCATGAAGGCATTGGCCTACATAGGCAAAAGGCATTGACATATATAGATACATACTTATTGCAATCATATATTTACCTGTTTTGCAACTATAAGACACCATAGGATACAGATTTTGTGACAGAAGTACTCACAAAAAAGTGAAATCATTGTCATCCATCTTCCGAGGACCATCATCCCTCTGCCAGTGACTCCTGCATCTCGAAATTTCAGTGCATGCCGCCCCTACCCCTCCACTGCAGAGTCGTTAGTCTGGCATTAGTCGCAGCAGGGTAAATGAACTGTAATACCTCGCCAGATGTCAATGACAATGTCATCTGTAAACGAGGCATAAGTCTAAGCTCTCGCAAGCCCAAAATCGAATACTTACCTCGCGGGACAACATCACGCGTACGTTACTTCAGCCGGAACTTTGATTTTGTGAACAGAATATCTAATCAGCTGTTAGCTCCCGGTTCATGTCAGTCAACACGAAAACTTACAGAGCAAGGAATGAATCGTTTATTTATGTAGCTAGAGTGTGTAGTTAGTATCAAAGCCAATTTTAAAGGCCAACGCACGTACTGAATACATTAGAGATGCGATGTAGCATATGTCTCTAAGCAAGACCAGTCAACCAAACGAAGAGAAAATAACATAGATAACACCTACCACGTCTGTAAGACCACCTTCACAGTCTGCGAACGCAGACATCCCCATTTGGCACATCATGAATGCTCGTGTTCCTATCACTCGGACCTGCGTTGTCGTCGTCAGCTATGGACGGTAGCTTTGAGCAGCGAAATCCTAGCGAACGAGCATTGTGTCAGTGAGAGAAAGAGGGAAAGGGGAGGGAAACGTACCGGGATCGTGTACCAGCCTTTTCATCTCCAACAAGACTTGCCCCGCCCGTAGTAGCGTTGTACCTTCGATTCTGAGATAAACGATTTGTCAGCTCAGCCGCTAACAGAGCAAAGTGTTAGCTTACCTCGGATCTGCGCACACGGTCCGCATGTCATCGTTATCCGCGGGTAGGAGATTTGAGAAGCGCAATGCTAGCACAGACATATATTGCATTAGTGAACAAAAGATGGAAAGGAGGAGAAGAGAAACGCACTGATATTCGATCTCAGCCTTGACAACGGTACACCTCATGGTGCGTGTATTCTCATAACGTTTTGGGGAGATACGTGGATCTGAAACAATTCATTCAGTTAACAGACGACCAGTAATACTCACAGGAGTCATCTGGGCAAACGAGGTCGAGAACGAGAGTCTTGGAGGGAGGATGAATAGGCTCAGATCGGCTTGAGCTCTGTAACTTTGAATATTCATTTGCCGAGGCCTTTGGGGGGATTTACTACAAAGTTCTATTAAATTATGAAGTGCTATAAAAAGCCTAGAGTTATTACGATCAAATACAGGATGAACGTATGACGGACTAGTAAAATAACCTGCCTCAGATATCTCGAGATCAACGTTGCACTATTTTTGGAACTTGACCTACTCCAGTGTTTCGATTCGGCTGTGCATTTGACGTTCTCCTTCGGAGGGCGTTGTTCACTGTTCAAGCCTTGAATATACTTTGTAGCCAGTGTGCGTGGTCCTGTTTGGATTCCCGAGTGACTGGAAGGAGCCAAACCCTTGTGAATCGTGAGGGAGGACGCGATATCCCTTCCAAATTTCGGATAGCAAGCGAGACAGCAAACATCGCACGTTTTGATGGTTGCATGAAGGGCTACGTACGCCATCGAGGTCCCTGTGTTTTTGAATTTCCGAAGATGTCGAGGGATTCAGAGGTGAAGGAACCAGTATCGAGGTATTCTTTGGGCCGATGTGTGGATTCCCTTCGATGTTTGAAGGCCTAAAACATTATACGTTAGCGGAAATACTATTATGAAAGCTTACCAGTATATTCGAACCCGACGAGATGGAAAACGAACGAGTTCCAGATGTCGGAGGTGCCGCAGTGACCGGGTCATGAAAGATTCATCTGCGAAGGTTCTTCGGGGCCCTAAATTTCCTGAACAATAGGATTTATCTTGAGATGATACATCAAGTAAATAAAGGCCACCCACCTTGGAAAAATGGCATTGACGGAACGTGGATGAATGAAATAATCACCCTCAACGCTTACCAGATCAATCTCAAGCTGCTTTCGGAAAGTCCTCGAGCTGACATCATTGCCGATGCTAAAGGAATCCTTCGCGCGAATGACTGGCGCCGCATATTCGGGTGCTTTGAAACACAACGAAGTTCTGGGTGTATATAAAAGAAGGTAAGTTCCTGCAGCTTGACGTCTTTCTGCCCCCTTACCTTCCCCCTGTCTCCCGTCTGTTACGTTCCAAGCCTCGCCCTGTCACCGTATCATGTTGGTGCGTGGGGAGCCTACGTGTCGCAGCATATGGTGGTGGTGGTGGTGGTATTACCGGCGCCAGGTCCCAATAAGGAACGGCCAGGTCCACAGCCCTGACATGGCGAACCATGCGCTGTGGCTGCAAAGGCTCATACTGTTGTAATCACACTGTTGAGTGCGTCTCGCGGAGTAGAGACTCTTCGCAGGGTACACAATTGAATGAAAAGTGATGGGGATGAGCACAATCGAACACGGAGAACCAGTTAGCATTGGTGTATACCTCGAAAATCCGGTGCAGTGTACGACTCCTTAATAAGAATCAGTGCCGTCCAAAAGGAGGAGCATTATGAAATGGTTCATGAGACATGTGCGTCAACAATGACAGTGAAAGAACATGTGAACAAATGTGAAACGCGTAATGGGAGAGTGAGACATGGTGCACGGACCATGAGGTGTATGGAAGGTCAGCAGCAATGAGAAGATATCAAGGACAATGGGAGCATACGAATCATCCACCAAGAAACAAAGAACCACAGACTGCAGGAACGAAACACAAGCATCATGTGTGCACAACAAACGAGGTCCGTTGTTTTGCTCAAGCCTTAGCCCATGAAAATGATGAAACGGAAACCAAGAACAGCGAAACAGGCAAGCTCCTTCGAGAAAGAGACTGCCTGCGAACGAAACACCGAGTACCACCAGACTGGTGAGATCCTTCGCGAAGGACACCACCAGCAGACGTAACCACCGAGTATCACTGCACAGGTGAGATCTTTTGGAAAGGATCCCATCTGTGGACGTAACCACTGCACAGATGAAATCCCTTGCAAGGGACTCCATCTGTGGACGTAACAACAGAGCACCGTCTGCAACGGCATTCCGAGTCCTATGAATATAGGATATCTCGGTTATTATGCAGTTGGGAATGGCCCGTGGGAAAATCTATTTGTGGAATCAATTGATGGCGGTGTTTGCCGACTATCTCGCTCTGTCCCCGGTGTCCCCTGGGCTTTGCCTGTGGAAGTTTTTCTATTCATGCACCATTCTTTCCCGGCTTCGTCCTCTTTCTCCCGAAATCTCCGCTGCATCGCTGCATGTTTATGTCGCTGGCGACTTCCATCCGATCGACACGACCTCTCCTTGTCAAACCACTACCCGGAGAATACACGAAACATGACAATTCGTGTCCCCAACCATAGCAGCATTTTCCAGGATCAAGAAACAGACTTATGCAGAGACGACGGATCTTCTTCCGGCGAGCAAGGCCAGGAGTGCAGAGAACTCGGGGTATATCACGCACGACGGGTTGGGGCATAGTGGTAAGTCTCCCCGTTCCTCACTCGCATTCGAGGATGCTAACATTCACATAGTTGATCTCAATCCTGCCGTTCAACACGACATCTCCCCCTTGAATTGACTACCTTGGGGAGGGCACAAAACATGAGATTTCGTGTTCCCAACAATGGCAAGGTTTTCGCACCACAAGGGAGCTGAATTTGTACCGAGACGACGTATCTTTGTCCAGAGAGTAAGTGTAGGAGTGTACTGCACTTGACGTGTGGGCCCTGGGGGGTGTAATGGTAAGTCTCTTGATTCACATTTAGGAATATACTCACTGTCTCATAGCTCAATTTCGAATCCCTTGACCAACGCAACCCCTCCCCCTCGAGTGACTGCCCTGGAGAGCATGCGGTGTGTGACGATTCATGTTCCCATCAGCAGCCAGCATTTTGCAGGGCGAAGAACCCAATTTTGCACCGAGATCACGTATCTTCATTCGGCGAGCAAGCCCAGTAGTATGCCTCGCGTGACAGATGGAAGTAGTGGTAAGTCTGTGTACAGGCATTTAAGAATGTACTGACCTTTGCATAGCTCAATCTTGATCCTGCCAATCAACACGACCCTTCCCCCTCCAACGACTGCCTTGGGGAGGGCACAAAGCACGAAATATTGTGTGCCCAACAATGACAAAGTTTCTGTAGCATGAGGAAGCCAATTTTACGCTGAGACAATGGATCTTCTTCCGGCAAGCAAAGTGAGGAGTATGTGGAACCTGAGGGTGTTACGTTGTGCAAGACGGGCGGGACAGTAAGTCTCCTCATTCCTCACTGAATTTATCAGTGCTCACCCTCGTCTAGCCCGATTCCGCTGATGAATACCAACTCCCCTTAGACCGATTTTTGTGCTGAGATGACGTATCTTCATCCGGCGAGCATGGCTGGCACTGTGTACACTGTGCAGGTGGTGACTCGGGATGAAATAATTTAATGACGGCGGTGGATCTGCAGGAGTGGGTACGTATGGACATATCTTGAACCATTCTGGGTACTAACTGTTTCTTTAGCTTAGTCTCGTCTCATGCACGCAATTCCCGGTGTCAGGGAAGAAGACGCTTGGTTCGAAATATGCCCTTCGACATGCAGACGGATGCAGGTGAGAATTTGGGCCCGACACGATGTATGAACGTCCGGTGAGCAAGGAGATGTAGTGGGCTGCCAATGAAGAGTACATCGATGTTATCAACATGGGCAAGGATCCCACTGGTAAGTTGCCTGATGCCTTCCTGTACCGTACACGATTTCCTGAATAAGTGTGACAGAAAATAGGACTCGGATTTGCCACCGTATGAGCTGGCCCTCGCCCGCTAGTCAGCAGGGCCTTTAAGCCCACGCGAAGGCTGAGCGATTGAGACAGAGAGCATTGACGACTCGGTAGGAAGGACGGATTCCGTGGTAAGAAGCTTTCGGATTGGAGCAGTTCCATGGCTTTGACCCAGTCGGCTACGGGATCATGTGTGGGGTAAATGGCCAGGACAGGCTGCGGTGCAGAAGAAACAGAGACGCGTCTCGGTGAAGGGCAGTGGTGATGAGGAGGAAATGAGCATGGAGCAAGTGAGAGATGTCGATCAATTCGGAGAAATTATTGTAATGGGCTTGTCAGTCATCCCAACTGGCAGAAGATGGTCGACTGTTCTGATATCACTGCAAGGTAAAGTTCACTGTCCCAAATTGAAAGCAAATGTACGTCGCGTCGAAGAGAATCGTCGAGATCCAGTGACGCCAACGCCAGGTCCATTTTTTCATCGAAGCAGAGCTCTGCATGGACATTCCATCCCATCCATGCGCCAAGGGTTCATATACATACGTCGTTGACGAGAAGAATGTCTTTATGGTATGGGGTCGTAGGCGGCGAAGGGCGTGCTCGTATAATGAACTACTGGAATATAGTGGAGGTGCTGTGACTCAAGACGTAAGTCGAGAAAAGGAAAGTCGTGGTGGTACTGAAGCGGCTACAGGATCATGTGTGGGGTAAATGGCCAGGACAGGCTGCGGGGTGTGGGTGTGGTATCGACAGTCTTGCGGGATAGGCGTCGATGTCCAAAAGAAGAACGCGCGAGTTGCCGCCGGCAACTCGAAGGTCGTCTCTTCCTCCCACCATGCTCCCTCTTGCTCCTGTTCTCCATTCGCCCCCCTCCACTTTAGTTGAGTCCCTCAAGATGACTTTGACGCAGTCTCAGGTTGCTGAATGAAGTTTGTGAGTTAATTTGCGATTGGTTTTCTATGTTACTTACCTTTATTTTAGCTGGCTGTTCCGATCGCTCGCAAGCTTAAGATGAAGACTAAATTGTCGAAAAAAATTGCCCTGCAGCAAGCGAACACACGCTGATGAGGAGGACCTCAACGGTGTGGGGCGCGGAGGATGCGCATCGAAGGTGTCCTACCGCAGACTGGATGTAAGTTTATTCCTGCCCCCGGCAATACATCTTATTGACGACTTCCCCTCTACAGCACGACCTCCATCGTCTGCTCTCCGCACTTCCAACACTCCCTTGACGACTGTGTACGCACAAATTCTCGACTACGCTAGGCCGAGACGAGCGTGCCTTCGAGCTGGAAGGACAGATTTTGGACGGAGACGACGTATCGTCGTCCGGCGAGCAAGACCAGGCGTGTGGGAGTGGTAGAGGTAATACAAGAGAGACGGTAGAGTTGCGGATGGCGGCTGATGCACCAGAAATTGTAAGTTTTTGTTTCTTCACCAACTGTGGCACTCACATCTTTGTAGACATTTTCTATCGAGCGACTACCTCAAGCGTCGTGCCAACGACGTGTCGAATGAGATGAAGCATCGGAATCCGGGAGAATTTTGGCTCGAGACGACGTATTGTCGTCCGGCGAGCGAGCCCTGTGTGAAGGTGAAAGATATAATGGTAAGTTCCTTCCTTGAGACACGTCAATCTCTGCTCACCTGATCTGCAGTACTTCTAATATCTACATCAAAATGTGGTCCCCTCAAGAACCCGTTTTTGGGCCGAGACGATGTATCGTCGTCCGGCGAGCAAGGTTTGGAGTAGTGCGGTACTGGGAGGAATGTATCACAGGAGGGAGGATGTGTGCACATGCATGCATGGAGGGTAAGTCATCTCTGTTGATTGATAGAGTCTGCCACCACTGACCTTCCTGTAGCTCGATGTCATCCTCTTCCCTCCCTTGCAGTTTCCGCTCACTGTTCTGTTGTAGATATAATCCTGAGATGAAATATTCGTTAACTCGTAGTTATTAACCAAGTGAAGCATATGGAAAGGACTTACTATCCACGCGCGCATCCCCCGCACGCCGTCTCTCACATTCACAGTGTACAGCAGGAAACTACTGTATTCAATATATGTGCAATAATTAGACGAACAAGTAGTTAAAGAAATTTGACAAATAGTAGCGTACCGCTCCTAGAAATATGATTTCCGTTCGTCGCGTACTGGGAGGAGAATAGACGCCCAGATGGACATCGTCATTGGACGTCGGTGCCAAGATCTTCGTCCCACCCTCCTCCTTGTACCCTTCTTCCCCACAGCCCATCCCGGTGTCCTCGTCGTTGCCCTACAGCCCTGCTCCATCATATATCATGTTCCTCCATCGCTCTCGAAGTCCCAAACTCATTCCTGTCGTCGGCGTCGTCGTCGTTGTTGGTGTCGTTGCTGTTGTTGGGTTTGGGCTCTGTGGGTCATTGTTCTGTGAGATGGTGGCCGATATCGAATCCCTCGATGGATTCTAGGGTTATTGAAGTCCCCGAACTGCGAATCCAGCAGCGATTAACGCCGATGCGCGTGTGGGGGTTATGGGATGGGTCGCAGCGGGGTATCACTATCAGGATCATATCGAGCCAATGGCAGGATGATCCTTATCTACGCGGTGTCCATCGTTCCTCCAAGACATTCGTGTCGTTTCCTTCGACGCTATGAACAACGATGGAGACCTTCGCACAGCTGAGAGCAGTGGGGCTACAACATCGTACTCGACTCCGCACAGCAGCCCGGTGCCTCTCCGGATCGCACTACCTTTAATGAACAGACCCTCGACTGACTCGACTCTGCCTATGCCATCGAGCGCCATTTTTACGACAAGAAGGGCTATGGTGTCGTTCGATAACCTTGTCGCGTTGGCAAACCACCAGGAGAGGCTACGGGAGGCAGGCAAGATGGTATGGCGCGTCAGGGGAGAGCCGGTGGTCGAATTGCATGATTTGAGCAGGTAGTACCATCGTCGGCGGGGAAGCGGTGTGTACAGTCATTGAGGGAGACGGAGAGGATGTTGTACTGCAAAAGGATGTATTCAATAAAATGAATGACAATGCGCATAACAGGACTTACTTTGCATCCACGGCCAGGAATCTTCGATGCCCTCCTCCAGGCTCCCACACATCCACGCCATGTCCAGATGCTCAAGTCCTTCTGAGCATGCATTCGCTCACCATGGGGCCAAATATTCTGAAAATTCGTGGTCCATCTTGAGCTTGGAAGCGGTGAAAAAGTCGGCTGCAATGAAAGGTAAATATCATACAAAATCAACGTAAAAATTTTACTCACAGAAAGGTGTTACATCATCCACTAGCCTGAGGGATTATCAATTATCGATGAGGGCCTTGGATAGCGGTGACGAGAGGGAGGTGGGGTGAGAACGAATCAAACACATGTCTCGTCTGATCACCGTATTTCGTTGTTTGGTTGAGTCTTTTGGTATGGGGGTTAGGAGTGCCAGGAGGTCGTCGGAAAGGAATGCGAGCCATTCATCCGTTCAATAGTCGTGGCTTGACGTTGACGATAAGTGGGGAGGTTGTACGTCTTGTGGTAGGAGTATTAGAGCTTGCGATGGCCGGGTGTGTATTTGTTGGGAGGGAGGATGTCTGCATAGTGAAAGACACCCGGAGCAGCCATCTATAGATCCAGCTCCTGTGTGCAAACGGAGGGAGACGTGACCACGTGATGTCAACCAAACCTTGCACTCACCCCTCAACACCCTGCAGCCAAATAGGACCCCACGCGTCACAGACTCGAGTCTGAACACGCTCTCAGACTCTGCCGGACCGTGGACCCAAATATCTCGTGACGTGACACGATGCGCTAACGCTGCCGCAATCAACATCCTCCCTCGCTCACATTGTCGAGCACGACTGTGCTGCCATTTATCTGTCTCCCTTGGGTGCGCGTGTATCCGTTCCAGTCCTCCAATCTACCAACTACGCAGCAACCTTTCGGATACTCTGTGACAGGGGCTAGCTTGTTTACTATGGCCATCACAATCACCCTTTCAGAGGACACTGTCCAGCACCTTGTTGAATCTGTTACCACCCTCATCAATGCAGAGGAAAGTAGGGGAAGAGATGCGACCCATTACAGGGCCTTGCTATCAGGACTCAATGAAGGGATGAGTCTGAACAGGAATTGTGATGAAATAGGCTCGTAAAAATTCCTTTGGACCTGATTTGTGCTCACAGTACTATCATAGATCCCCCTTCCATGTCTGTTGATGCGGTCAAGAGTGACTGTGATGTTGACGCAACTGCATCTGGCGTGTCTTTGTGCCCTGTGAAGTTTTCTCTGGTCCTCAGTGCCCCACTGCCCTTTCACGCCCACAACGCCATTGCCCACGGTGATGGCACTTTCGGCGACCCTGGCCACAACTCTCAGGGTGATATGACTTTGATATATCCATCATTGTCATCTGACATCGTCGACTCTCCCATTGACTCTCACAACGACAACTTGGAATATACACTATCCCCTATTCAACCACCCTTGTCACCACTTGACAGCACAGACAGTGATTTTGAGGATGAGAAAACTGTATACGGTGTGACTTCTTCTCCTCTGAAGCTGTCTCTGCCTTTTGCCACCCCCTCCTTCAACGCTGCCATCAGTGACTGGGAAGAGGTGACTGTCTTTGGCGCATCTTCCTCTCCTGTGATGCCACCTCAGGCCTTCAATAACTTTGGTGGTGGCGTCTCAGACTGTGAAAGCACCAACGACAAGGGCATTTTAGGTGGTACTGAGATGCTGAACCCTATCAGTCACTCACGACCTGTTGAAGAGCTTGGGGCTGCAGTTCACGATCCCGATCCTGATCCACCAGCACCTCAACGTATTCATTTACTTGATGATTCAGCAGATGCACCGCCCGCAAAGAGACCTCACGTCAGTGTTCCAGATGACGATTATGATCCTGATGATTCCGACGGAGATTTAGATGGATTTGTGGTTGAAGCATGCCTTCCTGGAGAATGTGAGAAGCGGAAGGGAGATAGGAAACGAAAGACAACGTCTCGAAGGAAGAAACAGTCATCTGGAGGATGCAAGTCCAAGGGCGCCAAAAGGGTTGTTACTTGGACTGACTCTCTCACACTACCACCGCCTTCCCCAGACTCACTCCAGCTATTGACTCGTCTCTCAACCGTCTCCTCTGAACAACGAACGGTGGAAGCTTTGGGTCGCATAACACGCCATCTTATGCAGCCACCTAAAGAGAAGTTGGAATGGAATGACACGTCCCTCGTTGCTATTGCACGTCGATGTAAGATTCTTCATGAGATGGAGGGACTCCATGATTACAAGCTCATGCTCTCGTATCTGCAGCTAGTGATTACTTGTGATGGGTAATTTTTTGTTTCCCTTTCAATTGACATTTGATCTCACCTATTTTCAGACGGCGCAAGGAAGCCCGCAGGAAGAGACTGGGTTCCCTCAGTATGGCTGATTTTGCCAACGAGGCAGAGATCATACCTTCAACTTTCCGATCCTGGTACTCCATGGGAACTCGTCTTGTATATTTGGCTGCCGCTGGTAAGCTACTTGTATCAGCTTGCATTGAACCTTTGTTAACTGTCATTTCAGCAATGCCATTTGTCCTCCTGTTATTGGCTGCCAGTGCTATGCGGGTTCAAGTTAGCCGTTCAGATTATTCTTCTATGGAGGATATTTCTGGCCTTGCTGTCCTTCTTCGCTCTCCAACAGGTCTGTGTATTATTCTGGATCAATCTTTTCCTACTGAATGGTGTTGTAGTCGGGGAACCAGCCTATAAATTGATTCAAGACTTAATTATACCGCATATTCAATGTCTCACTTCACTCACCGTGCTTGAAGCGCCCTGGTTCAAAATATCTTTCTGGAACAACTCCACTGGCCAATGGCAGCTGCGCCATTTTTCTGACGTTGAAATCAATCAAAAAAGCTTAGATGAGGTTCAAGTAAAGTGAGTCTGGTGTTTTGAGGCTTGATAACGTCTCTAACAATGAGGTAGCTTCTTCCGTTTACCACCTCGTTCCAGTCTCTGGACCGCAGTTTATGACCCAGTTTATACCTCCATGCCCAGCGCGTCCAAACTTGAGCCATTGTACACCTTACCGGAAGCATCGAAAGGTATTTATGAGATGTGTCCTGTGCATACTATACAGACAAAATTCCATGTACCAACAAACCGGTGTCCTTTTAATACTGCAGAGGCACCTCACTGGACAGCAGTGGAACGAAGCAAGGCAGTTGGCGCTGTACCTGTTACGAGTTTGCTTGAACTTGAAAATACGGTCTGTAATTGTCTTTCCATTCGAACGAGTCTATTTCTCATCTCTTGACCTTCTGTAGCTCAATGATTTCTATGATTCCAATGGTGAAAAGAAGGATCCAGACTCGTATATCCTTGTTGACTCAAATATATGCAAAGGGTACGTTATATCACTCCATGTTTGTTTCATAATTGTTAATCCATATTCTAGCAAGACTTTATTCATTCAAGACATCGACAAACACCCAGTAGCGGTCTTAATCCCCGACATGGTCGATAATCTTCCTCATCTCCCAAAGTCTGTGGTTTCACAACTACAAAATACATGGAAAGGTGAATTTGAGGATCATGAAGATTCTCGACGAGATGACTATCACTATATGTCCTGGCACTGTGATTATTGGAACCGATACCAAGAAAGAGTATGATTATTTTGCTATTAACCACATACAATCTGATGAGTTTGTGAACAGGGTTATGATGCCCCGGATGACGCCAGTCCTTACTACACTCATAAGGAAGGCCAGACGACATTTCATTTCCAGCGACGTGCACCTGGTCATTCAAAAGAGTTTCTCCAGGATATTGGAGAAACTGACCTTTTGGGTCAGATTTTCCAGGATGTCATGTCATTCGTGAATAACCGTGTAAGCTTCATATTCTTCTCTCAGGTCAAATATGTTTTAATGTAATCTAGATCCGAACATTGCTACCAGATGTCTACCAAGAACTGACAGTATTCGTCGACCATCTACCGTTAAATGACAAAAGTGTAGCCTATCCTTTTTCTGGCTTTGTTATTAACGTTGGCATCTCCACAAATGGCCATCGAGATGGGTTCGATAAACTCATTTGCGCAGTGATACCATTCGGAGATTGGGAGGGGGGAGAGCTCTGTTTGTATGAAGCTGGATATGTATGGCGCCTGAAGCCATGGGACGTTCTTATTTTTCCTTCTGGGTGCATCACTCACTTCAATCTTTACATGACTGGATTACGAGGCTCTCTGGTGCTTCATTCAGATAATCGCGGTGATTCATGGGCGAGTGGTGAAGACGACTCTGCTTTTGAGTATAATGGTTGGGCACAAGCAGTGGCAAGTTGATTTAGTCTATTTATACATAGATAATTGTTGGATTTTATATATACTGTGACTAATAGTTGAACTCTCCTCCATGAACTTGCCTCCTTACTGTATGTCCTCAAGACGTCACACTGTCACCGGCCATCGGCTCCTGATGTTGGACTCGCTCCCGAAATGTTGAACAGTTGACTCATTGACAGTCGGAGTACAACAACGAACTTTGCCACCTTCCACAATGTCCATGGATCTCACTCAGCTTTCAAACATACTCGGAAACTTATCTGTGAATGACTTGGTATTGGTATGTACTTTTTCTACTCATTTTGTCATCTTTTCATTGATGCTCTGTGACCACAGGCGCTTAAAGAGTCGCAGTTACAAACCCAAGCACTCCAAGAAGAGATTCGCCAGCTCAAAACGGCTGTCCCCTCCAACAAAAACCTCTCCGACATCTCCACATCTGTCTCGTCCATGTCAGAATCTACTGGATCAACTACAGACTCTTCTGCCGCCAGTGATTTGACGTCTAGCAAAAAATCAAAAACTTTGTTTCAATCCAAGGAGAGCCAAGCCAAGCTGAATTATGTTGCGTGCAGAATGGTTTTCTTTGGAAACATATGGTGGGAGACGAAAGAGCTTTCAGGTTCTGCGCTTGAATACGATGTTGCGATTCGCAAGCTGGACTCAGCTGTTGTTGCCCTCCGTGCTGCTCCTCATAGCTGTCAGAAAGTACTTCAGGACCGTGTCACAGTACTCAGGATCATCGTCAAACTGCACGAATACCTCCCGCCAGTTTACCACCCACTTATTGGTGCGACGCTTGACGGTAAATATTATAAGATGTTTAAATTGGTGAGTATTTAATTCTGCTGAACATGATCTGGCATTTCATTTACTTAATCACATTGAATAGATGGCGAAGAAGGCACAAGAGGGCCGCTCAAACATGATGCATCGTTTTAGAGAAGTCGGACACAGGATATTTGAAGGGGTCCTTCCTGCTATGCACTTCCAAAATGGCTTTGACCGATTCACTGACCCGGAATGCCGGCGGCTTTTGGGATATGATGAAGTCAAGAAGCAGTACAAGCGGCTTCCACCTTGTCTGTTTGCTGAGGGTAGAATTTCTGGTGCGACTATGTTTAGAGTCCAAGCGGGGATAAAGGTTTGCAATTTTGATTCGCCCATGAAATCAGCAAGCTGACTGTTCAGCTAGATTCTTCTTGCCATGCTTTGGGGAAAGGGCGCTCTAGACAAGATTAAGATTACCACGAGAAAGACCAATGCTACTCTATGGGAAGTTAACGAAGTCAATGCTCCCTGCATGGCTTTCGTGGCTATTGTAGTAAGTGTTTTTATATTTTGATCCAAAATTAATATCTATACTATATTTCCAGATTCGATATCTTCTTTCTGGAGATGGTGATTTCGACTCACCCGGAAACCGGTCCGGCATTGACTACGATGCTGATTTTGAATACTACCTCGAAAGGATCGAGGAGCTCATTCAAGAAGGTGCAAAGTCTATTTCTAACACCTTCCAGTTTTACAACGAACAGGTCTTTCACCCAAAAGTGGTGGGTGCATCAAAAGCCCCAGGACTTCCAGTTCTGTATGATGATGAAGAGGAGGAGATTTGGCGAGGAATGAAGGAGATCGAAGACAGCCCTGACGACCCTGACGACTTTGACGATACTTCAACATCATTGGCTTTCACTCCTCAGATTACACCGGCAGTACAGGCTAATACTCATGATGCTTCAGCTTCTCAGCCTGCCCAGTCCATTACCCGTCCCACATCAGCCATCACAGCTGCTAACGAAATTGAACACGTGGAGATTCAATCTACCGAACAGACTGTGCCAGTCAAGGAGAAGAGGGGAAAGAGGGGAAAGAAAACAACTGCAGTGGCGACAGTTGTTCCACGTGAAACTCGCGCAACTCGCAGAACTCGCAGTACTCGGCGAGTTAGATTTGAGGATGAGGTGATCGCTGCAGGGAGGAAAACCCAAGGTGACGGGGCAACAGAGGCTACCTTGCATACCTCAGCTGGAACTGCGCATCCGATGACTTCAGATGTTATTTCAGTTTCGGCGCAGTATGATGAATATGACGAGCAAGAGGAAGATGAAGAGGTGGAAGAATAAGGAGTAGATACTTGTGTTTTATAAGACCATTCCGCAATATACTCCTGTGCTCCCAATGTCCATTGTGTCGTCACAACTGGCTTTCTGATATTTTGCATGCATCAAGTACCAAGCTGCATATGATAGTAACCTGGTTCCCTATAATATTAAAGCTCATATAGTGTAATGGTTATTTTCTGTTATTGTTCTGTTATGTAATGACTTATAATACGTTGCTGGAAGATTCTTAATGTTGCATTGTATTATTGATTAATTGTAAATTTGTATGCTTAGTTAAAATCAATCTGTAATTTCGTGTATTTGAAAACTAATAAAATAAATTAGGTTAATCTCACAGAAATTGGGTTGTTGAGTTTTTTCCTTTTTGAATACACTTCAGTATTGTATCCATCTTGTATTCAATCTAATAATGTTCAATTAGTTCTAATAATCTTCTAAAAATGTTCGCAATAAGGGAGCTCTCTGATTGAAAGTTAGCTGAAAAGCCACATAATTTGCGCCTGATCCACCGGGCCGAAGCATTACCCGGCACCAAATCATTTGCACAGCCTACTGCATTTCTACTTTAGGCTAGTTCCTTTTCAGGCACATAATTCAATGCCTTTTCGGACCGGACTTTCATCTGACACGGCCTAGTCAGGCCACCGGCTGCCTTTCAGCATTTCAATGCATTTTGCCGCCTTATCGTGCCTGAAAATCCAAATGCAGAAATTCCGACAAAGAAACAAGTAGGCATCCGGGTCCGGACGCCAAGGCCTATTTTTATCTTCCAAAAATTTCTCCTACTATCTATCGTCAGTGGTCAGTGGTCGGCTCTGATTGGCGCCTCCTGAATTTAAAGTTGAATACCGCATGACCTCCGGTATTTGCTATCGCCGTCAGTTTTTTGAATGCTAGCTGAACCGACGTGTCAAGATGGATTCGAGAATGTAAGGGTCGATATCCTTTAAGTTCAAATGACATCATTCATGATCACGTGCACCGCCGCCTCCGTCCGAGCGTGAGTCACAGAATGTCTCGAGAACCAACTTGAGCTTGATTATCATTGTCAAGGAATAATGCTGCGTGGTATTTTTTCCTTTTCTGTCCTCGGTCACCTCTCCGTTTCCTGGTACTCTAACCAAGCTAACGATCTCAAGTTCTATCCTTTAATTTCTCGCGACATCATCGTTGACTTTTCAAAGCTAGCGCAGACAATCAATCTCAACTCATGGAAATGTCCTACAGTGCGTTTATGGTGGAAAAAATAGACTGCGAGACCCGGTATTTGACTCTCAGGCAGACTGCATGCTCTCTTCCTTTGTCTCAACAGTTTTCGGGTACGCTGTTAACTAGGTTTCTTCTGTGCAAGCCGGTTCCTAGGTCTTAACCCGAGGAGGTAGCCAGATATACCGAACTGTTCATTCAACAAGCTTGGGAACGCATTATATCTAGAATAGTCTAACGCGAATGAGTGCATCGTACGTCCGACAATTACAAAACGATATGGCTTCACACGTGGATTTAGGACGAGTCTTCACTTGCTGGCTTAGTGCGTCCCTACGAAGTTGTAATTATCTTACACCAAAACCGGTCATAGGCTATCACTCGTAATAAACCACAACAAAGTTTTTACAGTGGAACTTATGGACCCGGAACCGGACCTTACAAAGCCGCGTTCGTTGGTATACGTCACTTTTCCTCCGGTGACTCGAGACGCGTCAGTGAGGCGACTTGCTCCAGCAACAACCGGATCGCGTTCCCTCCTGTGCATTGAACAATGTCTCTAATCCGGTACGATACTCTCTGCGGAGCCTCCCACATAGGCTGTACACACAGACACGAGGCACAATGACACATGGAAATATCTCACGACGACGCGCCTACACTCCAGATTTTCTCCCGATCCCGACCATGATCCAGTGCTCTGGGTCGAGGGAGATTTAACTTCCGCAGTCTTCCAAAGTTGTTACTCATTATATGTGAAGCGATGTGTTATAGGCGATGTGTGATTGGACGAGGTCTCGTCTCGTTCTGTCGGAGGCGAGTATCCCACTGGTCTTCCGTAATTATCACTCATGTGCAAGTGGTTTGTTATAGGCGATATGCTATTGGACGAGCGCGTTTTCCTTTCACTATCTGTTTTCGGAATGACAAATGCGGATATTGAACTATGTTTTATGGGAGAATCCTTTCCCGGGTTTCTTTTCACATCCGTTTATGGAATGACAGAGGTGGGCGTTAAGCAAGTCGTCGTAGGCGAGGCGTTATTGGATAAGTTCGTCTTGGCATACCATTTATATTCTCTCTCTGGGATATGAGAGGCATATAAAAGGTGGGCAGGATATGTCTTTACAGCAGTAGTCAAGACTACATGGCTTTTGCACCCCTCCTAGCTGTTCTCTTCCTTCTCGCCGTTGTACGCCAGTCCGACGGTATTGCTTAGCGTTCTTATATTTGCAATGACGCTAATACCGTTTAACCAGCTGCCCTCACGAAGCGAGTGGCATGCGCCGACGGTGTCCACACCGCCACCAATGAGGCCTGCTGCGCCTTATTCCCCGTCGTAGCCGACCTCCAAGAGAATCTGTTCGACGGCGGAGAGTGTGGAGAAGAGGTTGGTATTCTTCTCAGTCTTCAACGAGCGTTTGCTGACTGTGGGCGGTCCCGTTACCTAGGTACACGAGTCGCTTCGTTTAACCTTCCACGATGCAATCGGGTTTTCCCTTACTCAAGGGTCTGGCTTTATCTCGTTTTTTAATTTCAATAAGTCGATGTTTTTAACAGCGGTGGTGGTGCTGATGGATCTATCGTCACCTTCTCCGACATCGAGACGGCCTTCCACGCAAACAACGGAATCGGTACGGTCATAATGATCATAGTTCCTTGACCCAGGATTCACGGATTTTTCATCTAGATGGAATTGTGGAAGTACAGAGGCCTTTTATCAACGCGCACAACATGACCGCAGGAGACTTGTACGATATTTAATACATCTCGGACTCATAACCTTCTTAAAAATTTCTCAGTATCCAGTTGGCTGGCGCAGTTGGGGTGTCCAACTGTCCGGGTGCTCCGCAATTAAACTTCTTATTGGGACGTCCCTAAGCCACTGCCCCCTCCCCAGATCTACTCGTCCCGGAGCCTTTTGATAATGTGACAACTATCATCGCGAGGTTCGCTGATGCAGGGTTCGAGTCACCTGAAATTATTGCTCTCCTGGCTTCGTGCGGCACTGTTTCCTTTTACCTTTCTGACAAATTTTCTTGACATCTCTTCTAGGCACTCTGTCGCTGGCGCTGACCACGTGGACCCGACGGTAGCGTTTATTCATTTGTATATACGTCGTCTTTTGCTCAAGGATTTACAGATTCCCGGGTTTGTACCTTATGAATTCCTTGGGTTTTTCCCTAATTTACATTCTTTAGCACTCCCTTTGACTCAACCCCATCGCTCTTCGACACTCAATTCTTTGTAGAAGTCCAATTACGAGGCACCGCCTTCCCCGGGTACACGCTCCTTGTTTCTCTCTGGCATGCTGGTCGTTGACAGGTGTTTCAACAGGAACGGCAGTAATCAGGGTGAAGCTGAGTCTCCATTGGCTGGAGAAATACGAATTCAATCAGATGAGATGGTGAGTCGCCACAGTGCATAACGTACCATTGATGGGCTCATTGCGATTACCAGTTGGCTCGCGGTTCGTCCATGTTTTGACAGATGTTTGAACCCAGCAGCTGTAGCTTTCTCACAGATTCTAGAACATCCTGTGACTGGCAATCCTTCGCCAGTATGTGCTGTAGCATATTTCTCAACAGGGGTCAATGTTAACGACAATTGTCGCAGATGATCAGGCAAAGATGCAGACCGATTACAAGGCTGCTATGTTGAAGCTTTCTACGCTCGGACAAGACGTATCTAATATGGTGGATTGCACCGAGGTGATCCCCATCCCTCTAGCAGCTGTTGCGAAAGCCGCGCACTTGCCCGCTGGATTCGATATGAGTGATATTGAACAGGCGGTAAGCCGTTTTGACATGTTTCCACGAATAGATTTTTCATTTTCTGTTAGTGTGCTACTGCTCCGTTCCCCACTCTTACGGCTGATCCTGGCCCTGTCACCAGTGTTGCTCCAGTGTAAGAAGCTCTCAAATCTCAAATTGTATCGTTGTGTACTGATTTCTTTCCCTACATAGTCCACCATCCTAAGAAACTTACACAATGTGGAAGTTTTCTCGTTCGTTGACTTGATATACAGAATTATGTGTTCCGGAAGGTCTGTACCCAATACGGTTGTACCATTTACGTTTGTGATTCGTTTATGTTCATATGTGTTGACAATTCACTGTGTGAACTTATATGAAATGCGCGCCTCGAATTGATTGGGCTGTTCTCTCATGTGAATCGTATCTTCATTCAAACGGCTTATTAGAACGAATGTCTGTGAAAGACTGTTGGTCTGCGTTCGGCATAGATGATGCACCAGGTAGCGATGCCCCAACTGGTACCGGATGAATACAAATAGAAGTCATATTGGGATGGAAAGACAGGGAGTCAAACTAAGCAATGTGAGAGCGCTATGTCGTCACACAAAAGTAATATTACTCTTATTATTCGAACGTCTTCCTTCTTATGTGGGAGAGGTAGAGCGATATTGTAAATAGAATGTTCAATTCAAGGGAATGTTAATCGTGTACCATTTCTGCTTAGCGCACAGAGAGACCGAAGGAAGATTCAGGTGGCAAATCCCGGTCGTGGAAAATATTGTACGTACCGTCTGTCCTTTCGAGAGTTGAGCCCGGTAAAAAGAGCTAAAGTTAAGATACAAAGGATAATGGGGTTGGACTCACTTGGCGACAAGAGAGCTAATATAAACTGACAGCAAGACCTTAGTATTGGGAGCAGAGGAAGAAGACGTAAATACTAACGCCTTGAAGTTGATTGATATGAACATAGGAAGATTTGGCCAGACGATGTACCGTACATATACCGGATCAGGCTGAGAAAGAACGTGTGATGAAGGGTATTAATTACCGCCACGACAGTAAAAGGGAGCATGCGCCAAGTGGGCTGGGGATTAGTTGGCAAGGCATCGCATAATTTCGAGATCCTTACCTCTGACATCGCCAGTCCAGATATCACTACGAGTCGCACCAGGCTCATAACCATCTTCGTAGTGCTATAAGAAGTCCCCTCAGACTATGCGCACATAGATATAAGTACTAGTATGAAACATGCATCTGGAGAAACTGGTCATCGACCTGCCCTTGTGCCAGATAGCGCCAGCGATGACAAAATCCTCTGCCGAAATGGTGGAGAAATTCAGATATATGGATACATGCTAGGGATGATATCCTTGCCCTAATCCGAATCAAGGGCGGAAAGCGTACCATAACATCCAGAAAGCCAGTCAGGGTGTATCTGACAATGAGAAACGGTGATAATTTTCAGAGTACTTACGTGTCGTACATGACATATGAAAGGCACACTCGAGTCAATGATGTCTATTACGTGCGGGTAAGAACCAGCTTGTTCAAAGTGCAGTTCGCGTGGGGCTCTTACTTCAGTAGATTGGCTTCCCTTCTTTGAAGTGCGACATGTATCGCATTTTAATCTTCTCGCATGTACATCATTGAATTGGCGCTTATTGGTTTTCTGGAGTTAGCGTTTCAAACAACTGTCATTAAGTCACACACGAATATCATCACCTAGGAAAAACAAGGTGCGAGATGTGGAGAATGTCGTTATACAGTCATAGCACGGCGTTGAAAAAAATTAAAAAGTAAAAAGTAAAATGCTAACCCTGACTTGGAGTTAAAAAGAAGACGACACAAAATGACCGTGTTCTGCGTCACCAAGGTTTTTATGTTGGATGAGAGGACAAGACACTAGGAGGAGAAAGAAAAGCTCCGAGAAAGGACGCGAAGTATCTCGGTTCCCGACGGTGCTGTCCACGTGGGTCAGTAGCAAGCCATTTCGGACTCAGAATTCGAACCTGATTGATTCCCGCACGATGCACGCCTCGAGTTCCATATTGTGCTGACTGTGATTATACATTTCCTGATGATGACCATGGAATCTGCAGGTCGTGAAAGGTGTCTTGTTCATGACGTCGAAATCCAGGATGTCACAGCTGCCTCACCCTTTCATTTACGGGAACTGCTGTGGTCGGACGGGGAGGACGTTTTTATCTCCAGTTCTATACTCGGCGTCCTCGCGACGAGGATGAGGAGACTCGCTCTACCCTTAGCGTAATGCGAAACTAGTACCAGGGTATCTATACCAAACCGTACCTCCTCCCGAATTAATGCTATTAATAATACGCGCGCCAGAACCTCTTCCCGACGATAGTTACATTAAAGTTGGGACAATATTCCACTTTCATCCGGAGGATCTAGACAGGTGTGCGATTTGGCCGTGTATGATCCAGGAAGCTCGGGTCTGCGAAACGCTGATGAAGCACCCTCATCCGAATGTGGCGCGCTACTACGGATACGTTGAGAAGGATGGATTGATGGTTGGATTGGGTTTTAAGAGATATGGACAAACGCTTGGAGAGTCTGTGAAGAAGGGTGTGATTCTGAAGGAGGATGTCGAATCCTCGTTTGATCAGATCAAGAAGGGCGTCGAGCACATTCACCGTCTTGGCTTGGTACACGTAAGCTCATCTTGCAAGCGCTGGAATAGACGCCTTACTTATTACCATGCAGAACAACATTAATCCCAGTAACATTATGCTCGACGCAGACGGGTCGTTGCTTATCATCGGTAGGCGTTGCATAACGTCGGGCATTTGATCTGCTGTGGACTATGAAGCAACGTCAGGAAAGCATGCCTCGAATACCTACGTCCTTGTCATGCACTATATCGGACAGATAACTTCAATCAAGCCTTCTGGGACCATCGGTATGTCTGGAAGAAGCTTTGAATTTGTGGGGCTGTTCTATAGACATCTCTCTCCGAGCAATATAAAAGGAACAATCATCGCTAGGCTGAAATTCTTAGGCATCACATAAAAGCATCGTGAGTTTGGGTGGATATTCCGTCATTGGAATGATTACGGTTTAGATTTTTGTTAGGATAGCTGCCATGCGGCCTTAGGGACTGTAGACGAGTTCCCATGATGTTCGGTGCTAGCGAAGAAGTTCGGCACGGAGTTTGCCGAGTCTCCTTCTTCTGCTACTCCCATCATCGCTTGCCTCTCCTTATGCTTAACGGAAAAGAAACATGGATTTCTATTGTAGAACTTACTGAAGCAACCTGACACTTATCAAAATCACTTGCACAATAATCTTTGGTGTGCGAGTATCCGTATCATTGTCAGTAAGACGGGACGAAAGACTCGCCTTGTCACCTCAAAAACCTATCATCTTTAAGGTAGACTATTGACCTGGTGTCTACTATTCCTACTGTACGCTATCTCAAGTACGTTTACCCATTCACATTACAGTGATTAGCGACTGACTAAGTAGTAATGCTAGATATCAGGGACCAATAAGTCGAAACCCTGAAGGTCGAAACGTGAGGATGGCTCAGCTTCACAAGATGCTCTTCGAATAGTGGCTCCATTCTATCGACAGCTCGAAATTCGAATTTAGCACCGTGGGATTTCGACGTCTGCTTCAGCGTTCGAAATCAGATACACATTGAAACGTAATGGTATACGTCTTTTTTTGTGTCTCAGCACCATTCTAATTGTCCTGTTAGCATTTCTTGGAAATTTCTCTAGAAGACTCCTTGAGGAATGTCATTGGAGCTGCAATCGTTGAAAGTTGGGATCGACATATTCAGTACCTGTTCCTCACGGGGCATGTGCGGCTGAGACTACTTAGGTTGGTTTCCGTACTTTTTTCTACTTAGATTTGACATGACCTTTCGCACAGATGCTACTATAGACCAGGATTCCGACACGTTCACGACGCGTCGATGGCATGAGAATAGTTGTCACGTGTATCAACGGACGCGTCTATTTCATTTCGGATTTGGAATGCCTTCCGACTTGTTGAGACTGCGAACCCCTCTCTGTCTCTCTTCCACACCACCACTACCACAGCAACAATTCAACGCCCTGCCAATTCGCCAAAAACGACGCCGAAAGTCGATAACAAGAGCGCCGGCACCGAAACCTCGTTCACGGTCAGCGGCCAAGGGGAGATCAAGAAGCTGATCAAGACGCTGATTAGGAGGGGCACAGCGAAGGACGTAAAGGGACTGGTATGAGATGTCTCCTTCGTGGATTCACTCTTATTGACGCGTGTCTAGATGATTTCTTTCTCGACGGCCGAGTATCAAGAGAAGAGTAAACGCGGTGAGCAGATCGCCGAGCTACTGAAACGACAAGTCTTCCCTTCACCGCGTGTTGTATCTTTACTCAACGTCGTCTTCTGGACGCCCAACCTTACTACCCTGACTCTCAACTTTGTGAGTGCCGTCCATTTCATGGCCGAACACGCCTTTGACGCGTAATTCTAGTCTGGTCATCTTGACACGTATTCGGATTGTCTCGGAGAGAAGCTCATTGTCGCATTATGCTCGCTGAAGAATGTCGAGAACTTTTCTCGCCATGCCACGACATCCGCGTGCACGGATTTCGGCCAGTACAGCTTGATGAAATTGGTCTTGTCTTGGCCGAACCTCCGGACTGTAATTATTATCATCAGGTTGTTATGGAATATGCTGAGAATTCGTCAACCAGCTATATCTTGCTGTGGATATGAACGGCAGCGAAGACTGTTCAACGATCCCTCCAGCAACGTGCATTAGAATCTGTCACTTTTGAGCGCTGCATGTCAAATTTCGAAAAATTAGCACCCACGTTCGCGGGATCCGCCAAGAATCTTAAGACCTTCGAATCCTGGATGATGGGGTTCAAAGAGGGATAACTATCCCTCAGCTTTCCTCTTGTAATCGCTAACGTTGTAGGAGGGGGTATTGGTAACGTGGATTGAAACGATTACTATATAGTGAGAATCTCCTACCCTCTTATGTTATTCTTCAAGCTTATTGTCGTTGAGGCGATTATTTATTTATTACCTGTATTGCTTCATAAATTCATTCTACCTACTAAAAATTTGGCAGCTAGCAGTCGACATCGCTTCTTCTCCGTCTGTAAATTGATTTTACCCCCTATCCCCCATTCAGGTGATCATCTCCGCTTCGCGAGTGTCTACTTTCACTCCATGTTTTTCGTCATATCGAGAACAAAGATTTCCTTAATCAAATGCTGACCCTCTCCCTGTATCATGACATTAACCAGTGGTTCAGGATTGAACTACGAACAGGGAAACCATCAGCTAAGGGTAAGTGGCATGACAGCTAATTGGTAGTCATAGTCGGGGTTCGAGTCCCCATATCCATATAAAATTGCATACTGTGGACTTTTTCTCAAAGAGTGAAAGTATGGTGACTCGTGCGCCTGCATGTTTTTTTTTCCTGTATGGTGTACAACGTTTATTCTGGTATCCCTTGAGAATGGAATTCGACGAGAAGGTAAGGAATACATGTTTATCCGTGGTATTCATTCGGATAAGCAGTAGTGGTCAATGGGTACGGTATAATACCTTTGAGGGGCAGGGTTCGATTCCCTCTATCCAATATACAAGGGTCTGTTTAGCATACTTTTAGTGAAGGACAGCCTGGCTTTTGACGATCCTTTTTTTCCCTCTTTCATGGTTCATCGTACTCATCACGTTCGAAATAGGTGCGAGTCCACAGGATCAATAAACTCTGATGCCCGAGGGTCCCGAAGCGAACATTCTGTGTGGCAGTGTGATCCCTTCTCCGTATTGACATTCCAATCAGTGCTACGGGATGAAGGCAGTAAGTAAATAAGTATCAAGTCTTGCTTTACATTCTGAAGAGAATCCTATTTTCAGCGCGTTATCATGCCTGGGATTTCCGCATCCAGGAAGAGATCTGTGTTAGATCAGCACTTAGTCCTGCGCTGCCCAAACCTGGACCCCGGTCAGACTACCTGCGCCTGTGACGGATTCAAGTTGAGTTGCTCTTCATCGTAGAAGAGGTAAATCTCACCGACTCGGAATGTAGCTGCAACAGCGATGAACTGAGCATCAGATATAAATCAATTTTTGCATAGATATTGCTAAGAGGAAGAAGCATGGAAGGATCACAAATGACTGCGGACTATAAGAACACGTTAAGCCCCCGCCGGTTCTGACGGCCCGATTCCATCCGTGTTTACATCTATTGCTGGGTTTTTCCTTCTTGTCGTCATCCCCTCCAAACCTCGCAAGGACGGTGACCACCACTGGAGAGAGGCCCGAACGTAGGAACAACCATAGTTCTCATTCACATCTCAACACCATCAACCTATGAGAGGGACAGTTGAAATTCTATCATACCGACTACCGAGGATGCTTGGCCGATGGGGCGTGATGGACAGGCGCGGAGGAGGACACGGACAAGGCGTATAAAGGGTGCGGCTTCATGCAGAGGGCGGTTAGCGGCGAACTCCGCTAAGCTTAGGGAGACCAGAGATCTCGATCAGAGCATGACGAGAGCACGACAGCAAATCAAGATTGCGATAACCGAGTCCGCCTCATCGCGTGAACTAACTCCGTGCATAAGCTACATGTCAGTTATGAACACCACCCCTCCCCAACGTCCTACTCACTCCGCACCTCGCTTCCAGTCTCTGTTCCCCCCGAATTTGATGCCATAAAGTTCCCGCCACTTATAGCACGGGCTCACGATCCCAGATGTCGGATGTATGCTGTACCGGATAATGACGTGTTACAGACACTTCCGTGGTTAAAGCGCCAGCGCTCGTAACTACGTACGTCACGTCTTACCTGGCCATTCTCTCGCTCATATTCCTCTCAACATACAATCGTCGTTTCCTATTTAATGAGTGCATACATACAACACGGCCGTCGAGCGTATCATGGTCGTCAAAGGGTTATTGAGACGAGAGATTTTATAGTTGTGAGAATGTATGGGCGTAATAGCGTGCAAAAAAATCCGACGAATGCAAGTTAAATTTTTTCCAGTCACAAGTTACTTTTAAGTGCGCAAGTTCGCGTCCCCCCTGCAAGTTAAGTGTTTTTCTATAGTGATATACTCATTGGCGTCAGTTGTTACCATAGATATCTGAATAAGATCTAGGGCGTGGGTTCGGAGCGGGACAAGGTGGCCCTGAACCGGCCGACATTATTTCGGTGCTTGACACTAATCATTCCACCATTGCCGTACTAATGGCCCGAATTCCTCCAGCATCCTATTCATCTTTACCTGCTTCTCCATCGCTTATTCAGTAATGAATTCAGATACATTTCCTTTGGGTGTTTGATCTGAGATCTCTGGATTCAAGACCGCTCAGTCTAGACAGGCCACTGACTCCCTTATAGATTTGAATGCTCGGAATATTGCAAGACAGCGATAGATCGAGTTCAGTGGAGTGCACTAGGAATGACATTTCAGAGAGTTCAAGGGTCCATGACATGGCCTGCTGAACAGCATAGCTCAAGTACAGTAATACATTCTTCTACTATGTTGAGGCAAAGTTCTCCGCTTTTTGAGTTCAAACCTCCGGCATTGCTTTCTCCTTGTACCCCAGTCTAATCCTCGCTCGAGAATGTGACCGATCCTTAATTTTGAGCCACGGAGTCGTGAAACAGTTACCATTCCCACCTACATACTGAATGGTTCGATTCCGGATGTTGTGCCAGAATGAGGAGAGGCTGTGGCTTTTTAGACCCTACTCCCAGTGTCGAAAAAGTGGCATATGAAATCTCCGACAATTGAAGAGAGGGATATTTGGAAGTGGTGACAAGTAGTTTCACCAATGGAGCCACATTTGCTTCAAACAGCGAGTCCAAACTCAGAATGACCATTTTGAAGCAACTCATAGTGTTGAGATTTTGAGGTCAGTTAATGGAGAAACTGATTATTATGGAATCAAGGGAGGGTTCAAATCCCTTTCACTACATACACAAGTTCTTAGGAGGATGCCTATTTTGCTGTGGTGATCATCATGCGGACTACTGCCAACGTTTTTCAAGATCACACGCATTCTCTGGAGTCTCTGCGTGTATTTAAGGTTCTGTGCTGCGAAGATTTTTGTGGTTCACTATCTACCTCTTTGTTTGACCCCTCGCTTTAGGGAAAAATTGTGAAACGGTAGCCCTTCCCTGCTCATCATTACATGTGGGATGGGTTCCATCCCCTACAGTGTGTGGATGCATGAAGTCCGATATAATTTCTGAACCATCTGCGCATCCGCCACCTTGGGGCATCCCTTTTTGCTTGCTTCATGATCGATATCTCCTAAAAATGGATACAGACGGGCATCAATTCAGTGGACTATGCACGTAGAGAGCCTGGGGATTTGAGGCGGGGATTTGTGCACTGATACTGAGGGTAGCCGAGGGCCAAATCGGGATGAAGTCGAATTAACTGAGGCGGATATCACGTGCTGATCCTGTTCCTTCCGGCGCCAATCGGACCATGTCAGCTTGTGGACGTTTCTTCCTCTCTCTCAGCACCCACAGCCTATACGCGTTCAATGCACTGTATAATCCCTTGTAATCTACTCTACAGAGCATGGCCAGGATTCAACGCCACCTACTGACACTCTTTCTTTCATTGAGAATTTATTTCTCGCGTGGCGACATCGGAAGCGCCTGTTAACCTGAGAGCTACGGTGAGCTGAAGAATGTACTCAATATCCATGGTGCATGGGTGTGCTGGCCAGCTATTGTAACTGACGTGTCTGCACTAGCAGGTCGCTCGGAACGAAGTCCGCGTGCTATAATTGGAATGGCGTCAGATTCTGGGACACTGTTGCGAGTTGGGTGGGACAGTCTATCGTGCGTAATATTCCTGTATGCGAAAACGTTTCGTGTCTGATAAGCCATACAGCTGAGAAGATGCGGCAAGACTCGAACGCGACAACGAGTGCGCCTCATCTCCGACGTGATCATCTATCCTTCGCTCATGGAGTCGCGTCGTACTTCAACCATCCCAGGTATATTCACAGACGGAATTCGAAATGTCAAGAATCAGCGTAACTCTCTGGTTGTCTACGCGTAGAACAAGGATCTCAGTGCCCGACGACCATCCTTTTCGGTAATTCTAACTCTGCCGTCAAGATCCGGCCAACACTGATGCGCATATAGCCTGCGTTTTCTGTAGACCCGCACTCACCAAACCCGATGGCCCCTTCAGAACAATGTGGACATTGTTCCTTGGCGAAAATGTGCATAGTTCTGCCGATTCGACTTCGAGAAGCGGTGTAAGAGTCATGTCCATTCTTGAAGTCTGCGTGCTGAAGCATTAATAGCATTCGTTGCTTCCTTCCTCTCCTCGCTATGTTCCCGCTTGTTCGAAAGAAGAGGGCACACATCCTTCGATCGATTTGAAGACCATCGCATCATCGTTACTGTAAGCTAGTATCTTTCTTCCTTTATCTCTCACATCTCAATCAGCCCATTCAGACTGACCTTGTTGTCAGCGCTCCTCTTCACTGAAACGCCTCCAAATCATCAGGGACAGGATTCTGATGGATAACTGTCTCCGGTCGATGCACTATCTTTCATTTCCTCGCTGTAATTCTCCTGTATCCTGCTTGTGTCTGTGAAATGACGGATCTTCTTATCAGCTGATGCAGCATTACTCCATCCCAATTCATCAGTGGGCGATTCCATACTCTCGACGAATGGCAGACAGTACGCGCTCCTTCACATTATGTGTTCCAAACCTATCTTACCTAGTACATGCTACCTATGTACTGTTGATCCTTGAACGAAACTCAGTTCCGATACCAGTCCCGGCAGAACAACTTCATCGTCAACTCTCCGACCTTCAGCGGCCCGCACATAAAGTACGAACTCTGGGAGATAAAGCTAGGATCATCGTCACATCGTTATGTCGCGGAATCTATCACCCCTTTTTACGATGGTCTTTCGACGGCAGGATTGCCCAGGTACGTTCTCGAGCCCAGTATCTTCGAGACACCACTCCGCCATTAGCCCACAATTTGCGAGCTTTCAAGCCTCGTGTTGGTTATCCTCGTTTTCCTGGTTTATTTATGTAATGGGCTCCCTGTTTAGATTCTAGGTCTGCAATTTTGAAGCGGTAATAACCTCCTGCATAGAATCTATGCCTTGGGTACGACACATAATTTTTTTTTTCTAGTTGGCATAAAGAGAACAACGATGATATCGAGCTGACCTGTTATCGATGTCGCTCTCGTGCAGGGTATCTCCCCTCTATCACTATTTTGTCCAGGGATCCGAGCTATGTACACAGCGCATGCCTTCCCGCTAGTTCATATCGCCGGACTTTGCGCTTATCAAGGGGTGCATACAGCTCGGACTCCCTGGAAGGATATATAAGGTGTAGCATGTCGTTCACCTATGCCATTTCACTCTGTTAAGGTCATGCTATCAGTCTATTGTGGTTCATGGAATGGTGTTTTGTCTGCGATTCCGGTTCACATTTAGCTCGGTGCGATGAGGACCTTGGTACACGCACACAATAGCATCCTACCTTTGTTGTCTCTTTGTACACCAGCTCTTCCTCAATAGCCAGACAATCCATTCACCCCATCTCACTCGGCAGACTCATTCGTGCATCCTGACATTTCACCGCATAATACACATGCCATTGCTTCGTCAGAGTGGAACGAGAGCCGTTTGACATCGTAAAAGGCACGTCGCATTATAACGAACACTACTATCATGACGACGAGTAGGGCGAGCACCTATCTCCTAAGTTACGAGTATGCAACTAAGTTCTTACAGAGGTTGCTTAGAGCTAATTCATCGATCACAACAGCGCATTATTTACCTCCCAGTTCTACCCAATCACCCGGGAGGATTCATCAACGCCAGCTTCTCCCCACCAAGCCTCAAGGTAGCCCCTTGTAAGCCTCCAGGGATGCGGCATACGTTCTTCTGATGTATCCCACCCAAAAGAATACTCACATAGTTACATTAGCAAACCACGTATCGTTCAACTGTCCAGAGATGCCGAACATGCATCTCACACGTTGATAATCATATGGTGTGACGTTCGGACGCGGACTTGTATACCTACCCCAACACTACGACCTATCCAGAGAAATTGACGATACTTGTTCCACGGCCTGATGAACCTGGATCAGTTGAACGACATGCAAGCTACCCTCTGGAGTCGGTTAACACATGAGGGATGGGGCGCAAGTCCAGTCTGAGGTGTTACTATTCCTACACATGAGTGGGTTCGATTCCCTACAGCGTGTGTGTTTATGTCCTTTATATATCGTTTTGCGACACAGATGGCACATTTGCTAACTTGAGCATTTATTGAAACCGTGTATGACTTCATGAGATAGGGCTGTGCACAGAGAGAAGCTGAAAATTGTGAGCAGAATGGCTTAATTCGAATACAAAAGGTCTGGGTAAATGACTTGTTTCTTGGTTGGTCTCATTAAGTCATCAAGAATGTCATTGGTGATTACACTGACACCCAGGAGATGATGATATCCCAAGACTATACAGAGATAGAGCGAATGGAGGGGAGAAATTATACAAGGGGCACGATCAACTTGCGTTAAGTATTCCGAGAACGTAGAAAGTTTATTGATCTTATACATTTTCATCACTACATGTAAAATACCCACAGTGGTCGTAACTTCATATTACGTGCTGTCAAAGACATAAAATAGTGTCATACTCCTGACATCATCAAAGACAACCAACAACCTTCGTTAAAGGAAATGCCTAAACTCTGGGATCACCACGCCGACAGCGAGCACCGCCGTCGGCACATCTTTGCTCGACCAGTTCACGCACTGAGACCTATTCCTCCGCCTATTTTCAAGCATCATATACATACGCAAGCTGAGAACGAGGCTTATGCCCACAGCGAGGAAGCTAAAGTTGACTACGAGGGCGGTGTTGTAGTAAGGCTGTTCTTTCTCCATGAAGATGTTGGAAGCAATAAGACCAGAAGCTAAGTACACGGATTAGGCGTTGAGGAAGAGTTATGTTGTAAACAAAGAGACGCACAGTTTGCAAAGAATGTCATAAGCGCCGTACGGAAACCACGTCCGACTTCTGATGCATCGCTGCAGAGGTAGCATGATCAGTTGACATCCACATTCCAAATAACCTTTACTTACTTGCAATTATGCCGCACATGGAAAACGGTCGAAGGCGTGAATGCCCCAAGACACAATAGGAAGGAACCGAAGTACTGAATACCAGTCTTCGATACGTCAACGGTATCAACTAAGCCCCAATAAATAGGCATATGATATGAGAAAGGAAGATGGACGCACGAACGATGAAGCCTATCATCGTTGCAGTCATCGCACCAGCAATATGCAATGACCGCTGTCAAAAATAATCGACAAGGCTGCTGTGAGTAGCACAGCAAAACCACCGACAAAGTTGGGTGCGACCTATATATGTGACACTCACTAAGCACATCCCTAATTATAAAAAGGACAATGACAGTTCGTGCCGTGAGCAGATTCGTGGTCAATTTGCTCTTTCCCATTCGTCCAATGATCTGAGGGAGGAAAGTCCCAGTTAATGAAGAAGCTACTCCATAACAGATGGCGATTAATGCCCAAACGTAGAGCTTCCAGTCTTCGAGGGGAGCGAAGAAAGCTTGAGAGGTGAGCTTTTCGTTCATGACTGCAGACGAGTCACGGAGAATACGTGTCCGTGCGACATGCTTTTCATCCGACGAGAAAAAGAGCGCCGAGTCGATATTCGCGGGCAGGATGAATCTGTGAAAATGTCAAGAATGCACCAGGAAAATGGAGGAGTAGCGTACATTGCCAAGATCGAGAAGAAGACAGTTGCAGCGCCTTCGACGAGGAAGAGTAGGTATTAAGAAAGATAGGTGAGGGGTTTGCTAATCAGGAAAATATATTCATGTACCTGCCAACCTTGAAGACGGATATCCGGCTGAAACACCCCGTATGCGATCAGCCCAGAGAATCCGCCCGCAAAAGCAAGCGCTGAGAAGAACACAGCGACACGCTTTCCAAGTTCACCACGCCTAGTAATGTATTAGATATGCACGAGAGAGACGAAAAGAGAAACATACGTGTAAAAAGTAGTCAGATACCAGATGATGGTCAAAGCAAATCCGGCTTCTGCTGCACCAAGGAATAGCCGCACGACCAGACAGCCAACAAAGTTCTTGACCCTAAACGATGAATGAGCAAAAAGAGTCACGCACAGAAGACTGAAAGCATTATCGAATAGTCATTCTCATGGAAGTGTAGATCGGTCTCCAGTCCGTCCGTCTTTGCATTGCCTGGTAGACGTTACACATCAGCGAATTAACACATCGTGTACCCAACAACTACTCACCCAAATTTGACCGGTCCATGGCGTTGAGGATGTACAGGCAGAAGATAAGCGGCATAAGCCTTGCATCGAGCTTCCGAACGACCCTCTGCTCCACCTTGGGGTCGAACCTGTAATAATCCTCGATGTTATGACTGGGTTCTCCATTGGGACCATAAGCAACGTCGGGGACGTTTGACTCGACATCGTCTTTGCGGTCAGGCTTTGAGTCCAAGGATGGCGCCATTGTCAGTTCCAAGTGTCTGGATAGAAAAAACGCTCCTTCTTATGTGAAAAGCGCTGGAAAGGAGGAGAAGATCCTTGGCTACTCTATTGTGGACGATAATTCCATAATCAAGGCAGGCAACACGATAGGTAGGTCTAAGATAGGTCTGGAAAAGTTTAGGAAGTAGAATAAGCTACCAGCAGTAGTATAAGAGTGATTATTTGTCATTTTTGCTACATTCGACGAGGAAGCTGGAGGTCTGTACTATGATCAGAAGAAGTTCAGGGTACTGGGCGGTAAAAGCAGTCATCGGGAAGACCCAAGGTAGACATATCTCAACGAGATAAGGGATAGATGGAAGGAGACGCGCACTATTACAAGTTCGATGGCTCAGGGAGCTATTTGGCGGTGCACCTGACACAGTTTAGATACACTCTTATCTGGGTGTCTCTTGTGAAAACCGCAATTATCTCGTACAAAATGGTGAAATGGTCACTATTTATAATTTCAATACATACCGAGTGGTTCCATTCCTTTGGTGTGTCCCGATGTACATTGGCAGGATATATATATATATTGTGGACCACTAGCAGTGCTACAACCTCCGTCGAACATCGAAATCGACGTTGAGAAATCATTGAGTTTCCTTTGTACGGATACCTTTCCCCCTAAAGCACTCTTTGTATCAGGAGAAACCTCTCCAGATATGTAGGATAGTCGACAGTGCGCACTCATCCTATGCACAAAAACTATCTTCTCATATGCTGTGTAAGTTCTCTAAAAGCTGAGAGGCCGCTTCATAACCTAAATGTAAAAACGGATTTGCGAAAACATGATGTCAAATCTGTGAAAAGGCGCTTGTACGATTGGTCTACCAGTAGACAAGCCTAGCAGCGATATCGTACACTTCTGGACGACACGATGAACATCTCTCTTTATTATTACCGATCCCACATAACATGTATTACTGTACGGGTATGTATGTTTTCGTCCGCATGCCTGCTTACTAACTCAGGGCGTTGTTTTCTTTTTGTAGTGGCTCAATTCTATGTGGACGTTGATAAGAATTAATTAAGTTCCGAGCCGTGTAGAGAAATTAGAAGAGAGGTTAATGGTCAAGAGTCCGATGATAGCATTGCAATGTGTTATTTTGATGGGTAAATGGATGAGCATGGTGAAGAGGCTCGTTCGAAGATTTCTTTCCCGGTTCATCTCACCCGGAATGTCTTCATCATCCAGCAGTAGGTTTCTACTTTCGCTTGACGTGTAACATGGAGGGAACCTTCCCTTTGTCACTTTCAAAACCTTCCTCTCCAGGCTAAGTTTCGCCTCCTCCACTCAGTTACGGACATGGATAAAGGGTTATCGCACGCAGTGCTAATCAGTAGGGGTTCGACCCCTTTCAGCGTACATGATGAGACTACCAGAATTTTTATCTGATTCCCGAGAGTTAGTGTTGATGTTCCTCTTTCCAACTAACCCAGGGACAAGGGTTTCGAACGACGCGTGCAATGTTTTCATAGGATGGAGAAACGGAAGGTGTACTTGGTGTTATACAATGCGACGTTCAAGTTGTTGTGTGGCATAGACCCTTGTGAGCATGGGTGTCTGCGCATTATTTCCAATTACTCCGGCTTTCTTCCCTATTCTGTTCGTATCTTTGGTACTGTACGTAGGCAAGATTTTCAATTACCACTCGATCCTTTTCTTGTTCTGGAAAAAAGGGTTCCTATTCCACAACAATTCATATCCCGAATCACAATGAATGACATTTATACGAGCGAAAGAGCCATGGGTTCGCGGTTGACATGAAATCTAGTCAATAGAGTTAAAACGAAGACAGTTTTTACGAGCAATCGTTACAACGCACTGATGGCAATACAATTATCATGTATCACTCAAGTAGAAGGGTTCGATTCCCTTCCAATGCGTGAGGAGTGCGTGATAGAGTTTTACTTTTGCGATCCTTATTTGAGCTCCTTCGCTCATATTTTATGCATTGTTATCAATATTACCTTCTTCTACCACTATGAGATGGAGGGCTTCTACACCGGTTTGGCTAAGGCACAAGCAAGTCTATTGTAGGAGATATACATGGCCTGAACTGGATTCAATTTGAATGATGAAGGCTGGGCGTTTGGTGGATATTATAGTACTTCAAAGGGCTTCCTAAGGGGAGATACAGAAATGATAGCCTTGAAGACCTCAGCGTACTTTATAATATCGAGATTCCAAGTTCAGTACATCAGGTATGGATGGTAGAACTGATTCAATATCGTGGAATCGAGGAAGGGTTCGAATCCCTTTCAAATACATAGATCCTTTGAAAATCTCTTTTGCGCTAGAGCTCACTATATGGGATGTGGGGATCCCTTTTTTTCTTAATAACCCGGCTGCTTGTTACTTCAAATACTGGCCTCCACATATATCTCTCTTACTTCTAATATTTTCATGATTTGCCACCTACCTCTTCGCTTGAGGACAGGGTACCCGGTAAAATAGTGCAACAGTTACCATTCCTACACATGATGTGGGTTCGATCCCCTATAGCGTGTGTATTCACGGCCTTTGTATATCGTTTTGCGACACAGATGGCACATCTGCTAACTTAGGGATTCGTTGATTCCGTGCTTGACTTTGTGAGATATGGCTGTGCACAGAGAGAGGGTGGAAATCGCAAGAACAATGGGCTCATTCAAATCAAACAGACGCAAGAATAAAAATTTCAGGAATAACAAAAGGTCCGCAGTGGAGATCACATTGACACTGAGAAAATAGTTGCGTATATTCGCGCTGATGATATACCATGGACATATAGATATCGAGCAACTGGAGTGGAGAAACATATAGCAGGGTCCCCAGCAACTAGCGTTAAGTATTCAGAGAACGTAGATGAGTTCGTCGTCTGACTCGCTGAGGATGTTACAACGTGGTGCCGGGCTGCCAGATATCACGTGTATTAATCCGCCAGCACGAATCGGACTGTCTCAGCCTTGTCCTTTACCCTCCTTTACCACTCACTTCTGTCCTTTCGCCTTCTTCTCGGTCTCTCAGCATGTACAGCATACATACATTCAAGATATTATTCCTACACGATTCTGAACATTGTACAGGCTTCACCGAGACCCATGAGACTGTTTGCCTTCTTTCCCTCCATCAACTTGTTGTCCTAGCGTGGCGACATTAACCTCAAGACTGCAGCATGAAGATGGTATGACTATGACTACCTCGGACTTTGAATCATTCCCGAGGCTGAAGGTCGTGCTCGATATCTGTGGAACGTGCGAGTTCTGGCTAAATGGCAGTTGTTGCATATTCGCCCTTTGCACAGCCACCACGTGAGTCCTAAAGAGGAAGCCGTTTGACGAACTAACAGGCCAGCTCAACTCGCTCAAGCTGCCACCTCTCTTCCTCACCCTCCCACCACCGTCACCGGCGACGACGACGATGTGCACCGCCGCCCTCATCTTCCATCAATTACTTGCCCCTGCCGCCGCTATGCTACCCCACCACTCTATGAGTTCGACCTCGCACATTACAACTCAAGAGGCGCGGAGTTAGGACTATCGATGATGGCGGCGGCGTGACTATCGCCTGACTGGGCCTGCCCACCATAATTGGCGCGTCATGCTGCTGGTGCTGCTGCCCTGAGACCGACGTTTGCTTGATGAGAGAATAGCAGCCTACGTATATTTATCAGCTTATTCTTAGTTAGTAATTAGTAGTGGTATAACATGTTCTTAGCTACACTTTTTTCATAAATATTAAATTATTGACCTGCAAACTGGAAAAAAAATACTCCAAGCTCTGTAGGGACTTGTGATTATTACAATTTCTTCGATGCCACCCCACTGGACTTCCACGCGATTTAGCGCCCGCGAGCCAGTTCATCTGGTTATTTCCATTTCTGGGTGTCACATAACGGTCACGAAGGGCGAATATGATGCAACTATAAATGGCCAGGAATGAGGCACATATCTGGTATGTGTCTAGGCAGCATAGCTGGGGTTCTATATTGAACGATGCATCGTTTTCACAGAGCTAGTGCTTATATCATGATATTCCATGCGAATGCACCAGGAGGGAACTCATTTCAGCGACTACCTGAATCCGGACCAATACCACTGAGTCACAGTGGAAGGATGTCCGCATGCTATAATTGGAACGGTGTCCGATTTTGGGACACCCTGGCGAGTTGTGCGGTCAGTCCACGGTGCGTATTCTTCATACCTGCTAAAGGCCTTCGTCTCATAAACGGTGCAGTTGAGAGGATGCCACTAAACCCGCACACGACGAAGTGCGCCTTACTTCCGACAACGTCATCCATCCTTCGCTCATGGAATTGCGTCGCATCTCATGTAACTCCACAACCACGACAGACCAGCGTCCTCAATGCCCTACGGTCCTTTCCGGTAACTGCGACCCTTCCACGGAAATCCAGCCTACCCTGACGTGCATACAGCTAGCATATTCCGTGGACGTGTACTCTCTGGACCCGTGACATCGATCTTTGGCGAAAGTGTATATAGCCCAGCAGCCTACCACGATATGATATCCGATAGGTACGTTCCAACGACTCCGGATAAATAATAGTCACTTAATTACATTTATAGACCACATATCGTTTGCATCGCCGGAAGCACTGAACATGAATCATCTTATGCGCCGATAATCCTAAAAGGTGATATACACAACATTATGGGACATGGACATCTATATCTACTCATATGCCCTCCCAGTCAGCAACACTGACAACAGTGGTCCTGCCATACGATAACCTCCTTTGGCTAGTCATCTCCCCACATCAGTACTGCTGTGCACGGTGTATACTACTATGTTTACACGTGTAACACGTAATCGGTGGGATGCGCTAACGACTAGTTAGGATAGAAGACGTACGCGTGCTCGGTCGGCATCGAGGTGGATTGAATCTGGAGTTGTGGAAGGTGTGATCTTTGAGAAGCCTCGATTCTGGGATACAAAGTGAGATTCAATTCGTTATACAGTGTAGTTAAGCAAAG